ATTTAGGCAAAGGAAGAAAGAGCAAGTGGCATGTAAAAACTTAAATTCTCTGGTTTCAAATGAACTCATCCTAATTTGATATTCCTCTTATAGCTCTATTGTTAATAAGATCAGAACCACAAGGCTTGAACTAGTTTTCACCTTATGAACTAGTTATTGGAAAACCAGATTTAGGAGGCTGTACTAAATTGTATTGAGTCTTATAACTGACAGATTTTTAGAAGAGTTAGGAATCTCTGTAAGTAACTTGGAACCAGAGAAATAAATCTATTGAAGAGGAGCACCTTTTAGGCCTTCCCTGAGAATGAGGTGTATTCTCAAACATCCAAGACGAAATGTATCTAGGGACCAGAATACTATGTGGGATATCTGGGATCCAAGATGAAATGTGCTTATTAAATGGACATTGGGAATGAATTATTGGGTTATAAAGAGACCTGATGTTAATTAATATTGATGATCATTACTGTACCACTTTGGCTTTTTTGTTTCACAGTATCTATGTTTGTTGAGTTTTTTTTTTTTTGGTTACTTTGGTGATATGTAAATCTCCCCTCTAAAATTAGTCTATGGTTTTAGATATTTTTACCATGACTTGTGCTATGATTAATCAATTTTTTTGGGGGAGAGGGTTAGGCAATTAGGGTTAAGTGACTTGCCCAGGATCACACAGCTAGTAAGTGTCAAGTGCTTGGTCTGAGGCCGGATTTGAACTCAGGTCCTCCTGACTTCAGGGCCGGTGCTCTATCCTGATTAATCTATTTTGTTGTTCTCTGGTCAGTAGAAATTGTGACAAGCCTACATAAAACCTAACTCCTCCTTCAGGATTCCTGGTGGAATCCCTTCTCTTGGTTCACTTGGCTGCAGGGTAATGGCCAGTAAACCTACCCTTGGTAATGGACACTTATTGCCCTCTACCTTATAATCCTTTTTAGACTTTGCATTAGTTGCTATGTTTAAGCATGTTCTAAAATTGCAACAGAAAAACTGCTGTCAGTATATACTATTAATAATGACTGTTAAAAATTTTATAGCATTAGCCTATAGATAAATGATCTATGAAAGGCATGCAAAGGGGGGAATTGAAGTAATCAGATTGATTCTGTGTCTTTTTAATTGATCCTATTTACTGTGAATTGATTTTTGTATTGTAACTTAGTCTTTAATGAATTAAATTTAGAAATCCAGTTGCCTTGTTAATCATTGTTCTATTCTTGTGTCAAGGAAATCTGTTGTACTCGAAGGATGTAGATGGACACCAGGGAGTCTCATCTAGTATCTTTACACCACCAAGCTATCCTTCAAGGATGTCTGGTTTGTTAACCACAGAATTCTGGTTTGCTATCCAAAGAAGTGTGGTTTGCTATCTCTGTCCTTGCAGATGGCAGTTGGACTCAAGCAATGAACATTTCTTAGTTACAGGAAAGAAAGAAGGAATTGTTGCTAGCCCTCATTCTCAATTTCCTTCCAATCATATTTTCTTCCATCTACGATGCTAGCCTTTCTATTTTCTATATTTCCCAAAACTATAAAAGAGAGCTGTTCCCTTCATTTGTGGTCTTACCTTTGCTGGGGAAGCTGAGATCCTATTTATTGGTAAATTTATGCTTTACTAAATTGATCATGCTTGATACTTTGTGCTTCAGTTTACCTTAATTTTAATTGTTACAGTATCTCAGATTTCCTATCTTCCTTCAAAGCTCAATTCAAGCCCTATATGAAGCCTTTCCTGATCTCCCCAAGCTGTAGTCACCTTATATCTAATTGGTATATATCCATATATGTATATGTTGTACTCTTCTCCTCACAGAATGTCAACTATTTGAGGTCAGGGACTGATTCACCTTCATCTTTATATTCCCATTATTTGACATTTAGTAGATGCTTAATAAATGCTTATTGACTGATTGGTATAGCTTTCAAGATATTGTGCCATCCTACATACTACATACTACACACATCCTTGCTTTACTATGGGTTATTGGAGTAAGATTTTAGTGCAGAAAACTTCAGATAAGTTCTCATATCTTTTTGATTGCTTTGAGGGGATAATAAATAAAATGAAATCAGTAATAGTAACAATAGCTGTCACGTATGTATTCCTTTATGTTTTCCAATACACTAAACAAATACTATTTTATTTGATTTTCATAGTAACTCTGAGAAGTAGGCCCTATTATTACCCCCATTTTACAAATGGCTATCATTTTAGAAGTCTTGTTATTTGGGTTATTTTTAAAGTTTTATTGATGTACTTTATCATTTTACAAATCGTTTGTTTACTAACACACTGCTCTCTTAAAACAAAAGCAAACTGATGAGCAAAATAATTACAACTGACAGCATATTTTTCATTACACCACTATGTTTTGCTTTACTCTCTCAAATTAGAGAGAAATACATTTTGTAATCTACTGTTTGATACTAAGACTGGTCATTGTATTTAATATATATCAGGCTGCCTTTTTAGTGTTATTTTTCTTCATGTTATTGTAGCTATTGAGTATATTTTTCTCCTGATACTGCTTACTTTAGTTTGCATCAATTTGTAAAACTCTTCCCATCTTTCTCTGATTTTTATAATGTAGCAATATTCTATTGTATTAATATATTAATACAATTCCATTATATTAATAATTTCACATATATATATCATATATATCATAATATAATTTCATTATATTAATATACCATACCTTGCTCAGGATTCTCTAACTGATGAGTGCCCACTTTATCTGCTGCCACAAAAAATGTTGCTGAGTTCTTTTTTTTTTAGGCAATTGGGGTTAAGTGACTTGCCCAGGGTCACACAGCTAGTACGTGTCTGAGGCCAGACTTGAACTCAGGTCCTCTTGACTTTAGGGCAGGTATTCTATTCACTGTGCCACCTCGCTGCCCCTAATGCTAAGAACTTTTTGGTACACATTAGAGTTCTTTTTTTTGTTTTTGACCTCCCAGGGGAATATGCTCAGTCTAGGGAACACTGGGTCAGAGTGTATGAACAGTTGAAAGACTTTTCTTAAAACATTCCAGATTGTTTCAAGAATGGGTTGGACCATTTACAGATCCATCAACAGACTATTTACATGTTCATTAACAGTGTGGTAGTGAAATGTCTTCTTCCAGACTCTCTAATACAGATTACAAAACCTCAGTGTTTATCTGTAATTGTTTCGATTCCTTTGTTCACTAAAAAGAGGCACAGAATCATAGAAATCTAGGACATGTCTATATTTGCATTTTAAAACATTGATATTGAGGATAAATAGTTACTGAGTCATAGAATATTAGAACTGGAGAAACCTTAGCTATATCTAGTCCAACCCCCTTATTTTATGGATAAGGAAATTCAAGTACAGAAATGGTGTTTACTTTATTCTTACAACACATTGTCTCTGTAGCAATTTGACTTTTGTCCCCCCCTCCCCCAAATATGCATTTAAAATACTTAAGCTACACTCAATCTGAGAACATGAATAAGACTCTAATTCCTAGACTGGTAATTAATGGTAAGATAAAGGCTAATTGTTGCAAATTGACATTTCTGGGAGATAAAAATATAGCATTCTATTAGACAATAATAAAGGATATAAGTATTTATTTTATTTTTTTTGCCATAATCCCATTGCCATTCCTTTCCTCAAAAATTTCCAGTAATATTTTTATTCTAGGAAGTTTTGTGAATTTGAATAATATATTTATTTGAATAATATAATATAGATGGGATAATTTGATCAAGTAATATTGAGGTATAGTGGTAGAAAAGAAGTCATACAACTTTAAAGTTGGAAGGAATCTTGGTGATTCTTTAGTTAAGTTGGAGGAAACTAGGGAGGGGTAACTAGGATTTTTGTCCAGAGCACAAAATAAAAAGTTTGCAAAAATTTGTTAATATGCCAATGTTTAACAACTAGAAATCACTAGATTGATGAGTTCCCCCTTTCCCCTCAAAGGATTTTGTCTTAATTATTGTTGAATTATTTTTACATTATGAAATATGAAGTTGATTTAAGGCACATTTTACTCATCCTGTCCTGATACCAAAATTTATAGTTAAAGCTCCAAGTTTAATTTCCTTATTTTAGTGAGAAGATGGGGCCCAGAAAAGAATAGCAACTTGTCCATGATAAGTAACGTAGATAGTAGCAGAGATTGAACTAGGATTCAGGTTTCATGGCTTTAAGTTTAGTACTCTATTACATTATTATTATTATTTTTTTAGGCAATTGGGGTTAAGTGACTTGCCCAGGGTCACACAGCTAGTAAGTGTCAAGTGTTTGGTCTGAGGCCAGATTTGAACTCAGGTCCTCCTGACTTCAGGGCCAGTGCTCTATCCACTGCGCCACCTAGCTGCCCCTACTCTATTACATTATTAAAATTTATTATTTTGTCTTACTTTTTTTTTTTTTAAGGATGTAAGAAAATCAAATGGATACATAATATCCATCAAATATCACTTATTAAGTGACTACTATGGTTGTCAAATGCTAGCAATAGATTAAAAAAAAAATAGTCTCTTCTCCGAAGTCCATAAATCTATAATGCCTTCAAAAATCTTAGTGTAATTAGGGTGCTAGTCATGCTGTCTCCAATTTCCCTTCAATATAGTAAATTGATTTTGGTTGGTTATTAATTACTTGCAAACTTATTAGTGTTACCTACCTGATGTGACAAGGGATATTTAGGTCTTATAAGAGAGACAACATGGCATTGTGGGTAACAGGGCCACCTTTGGTGACAGGAAAACTTGAATCAAGTTCTACCTCTGACAGATTTTAACTGTAGAATCCTGGATAAGGCCAATTAATCTCTCAGACATATGCGCTACTCTCTGAGAATACAAATTGCAGAATAACTACTGATAAGAGTTAATAGAGGAAGTTTCCCCACCAGTTCTTCAATGAATGCAACTAATGAAATCCCAGTGCTGGTTGAAAAAAAATTTAAATAAATGAAAATATTGTTTTGGAAAAATAAAATAGGCTTTTCTTTTTAAACAGGTACTGTCTGTCTGCATGCTAACAACAATTCTTGGGTGCATATTTGGATTGAAACCAAGCTGTTCCAGAGAAGGTAATCATAATAGTATATAAAAATACCATGTAGTTATATGGTTATAAAGTAGATATTGATTGATATTTTTCTAATACAAATGTCTATAGAATTCTTGCAATTAATTTATCCTTATTTATGGAGCCTGTCTTATACTTTCTTCACCATATAATAATAGCCATATCTGTACTTTCATGATTTTATTTTTTTTTATACCAACCTTTTTTTTTTGTCAACATTTGATCCTAAAGTGGGGAGCAGAAAAAATATTTATGTGAGAACTATGGCTGACAGAGGTGCCAACAGCAGTATTCTTTGAGATCCTAGCCTTCCATTTAATCCAATGGTCTCCCAAAATTATTGTTTCAGAACAAATTTCTCTCAGGAGTATCATGGTGGCTAGTCTGCGTATCCTCTGGATGTACTTGTTGAAGTTTGATGACTTCTGCTGTCATGGAACCTTCTGTGAGCCAGCACAATATATTGAAAAATTTGATGGGCTTGAGATGGAAAAATTTGGCTTGTTTTCCTGGATCTACCTCTTGTTAGCAGTATGACTTTGGGCAGGTCACTTAATTGTTCTGTGCCTCAGTTTCATTTCGTACAAGATGGGAATAATATTTTCATTACCAACCTCTATGGCATCATGAGGATTCAATTTGATGATGCGTGTGCAGTACTACGTAAAGAGTTAACATTATATAAATATAAACTATAATTATTTCTGGAGACTTCCAGCATCCTGGCATTGCAAAGAGTTGCAGTCTTAAAGTATAGTTTTTTGTTATTGTTTTTGTTAAAGTTTTTTACTATTGTAAAACCCTCTCTGAGGCTACTTTCCTCAGCTTTCACTCACATTGTTAGGTTGAATTCTGAGGGGTGACTGTTACCTCTCAGGTTTTAGAGATAATCCTGTGAGGCTGCAGTTTTAGTGCATGCCCGAACTGTTCTGCTTCCCATGAACAATTAGCAGCAGACTCAATAAGCTCTCATCAAAGGCCTTTAATCAAAGGGCTTAGCAAGCACAGTTGGTACAAAAAGCTTCCCTTCAAAAGTCTGGGATGCAATATCCCACAAATATACATAGCATCCTTGGGAAGAAAGTGCTCAAATTGCAATAGCAATAGGTTTATTACTATTCAAAAATAATAAAGTTATTATGATTAAAGTAGTAATAGAGATTGCTGTGGCAAAAGAGTAACTCACAGTTCCTCATACTAGAAATCCTTTTTCCCTTCATAAAGTCCTTCCATTGTTCACTATGGATATGTCATTTGTGCTGATGGACCCACAGCTAGTTGGGTTTTTAGAATCTACTCCTTTCTTGAGTTCATATCCAGCACTTATATTTACCATGAAAGGTCACACTCTTTGAAGTGATGTTTTGGGCAACTAACTGTCTCTTCTTATGCCTTCTATGTGCATCTCTGCTCCTGGCTAAATGCGTTGTCTCCTACTAATCTAGTTTCTCCAGTGACATGGTCAGTGGGGTACAGGGAAGAGAATAACATCCTCTCTTCAACATTCACTCTCCCACTCTCTGATGCCCTCTGGTACAGGTACAAGGATAAGTCTCCCTAAAGAGCTCCTAAGCCTGGAATTTTCCACCACTGGACTGGCCAACTCCTGAACTGACTTGCTGTTTTTATACCTAGTCTGAGAGGTAGAACTGATTTTCTGAAAAGGTCATAATGGTCTGTGTCTATAATGGATACAATGGATAAAGATCCATAGCCAAAGCCCTATAATCCTTTCACATTAATTAAGGACTTTTTCATACATTGCTGTGAGGTTGTTGGAATATTCCTTAACACCTAGTTTGCAGTTTGTAATTATATCCTAGATTTTCTGTGATTATATTAGTTAAGGTGGGGAGAGTGGGCCCCTACCCCTTATCTTATGTTTCTTTAAAGTTAGGAGGGACAGAATTCACAGTGGGAAAATTACATAAGTAATTATGTATACATAGAACTCCAATATTTGAGTAAATTATAATCTTCACCTTTCAGCTTGGACAAATAATTTAGATATTTTTTTTCTCAGGAACAATAGGTGGTTTTCCTAGGAGCCTTTAGAAGTTTTAGCAGTGGGACAACTGATTAGGCAACTATTTTTCTCTCTCGCTAAATTTTTCCATTATTGTAGGATTTAGAATGGTGTCTGGATGTTCTTTGTCAGGAATCTCTTTTCATGTTTCTTTTAGGAATTTCTTCAGATTAGATACTTTATTAGCATTTACAATTTTATTTTTTAACAAGTGAGGAACAGGTATGTAGCTTTTGAATGGAAAATTCACATTGATTTCAGTATCAATTATAAAAAACAAAACTATTTTTGAACATTACTTATAATACAAATCTCTTCTAAAAATACTTGATTAATGATAGACTCATTATTTGATAATTTATATCTAATTTATCAAATTTATAACTAATTCTTGAGTCAAGAAAGTTTCTGGTCTTAGAAACTAGAAGTCATTCAGACTGTACTTTTTTGTGTGTGAATGGTTCCACTGTAGTTCTTGCTCAGTCATGACTGACTCTGTGACTCTATTTGAGGTTTTCTTGGGCAAAATACTGGAGTGGTTTGCCATTTCCTTCTCCAGCTCATTTTACAGATGAGGAGACTGAGGCAAACATGGTTAAGTGACTTGCCTAGAGTCACCCGGCTAGTATGTGTCTAAGGCCAGATGTGAACTCAGGTCTTCCTGACTCCAGACCAGGCACTCTATGAATTGTACCACCTAGCTACCCTAAATTGCCATATATCCCAAAACTAATAAAGTGAAAATTTCTTTGCCAATCACTTGGAAATTTAAGAGAGAATTGTGAGCACAAGCCACTTGATTATTCATCTTTATGGTGCTGACATTTTCTCTCTCACTTGAACTGATATAGCACTTCAAATTATAGCACTTAGCAAAGTACCTAGCACATGCAAGGAATTTAATACATGCTAATTGATTGACTTAAAACTTTTTCAAAACTCTTCTATGTTTAGTTTAGTTTTTTTTAAGTCTTATATTAACCATGTTAAAGAGGCAGGACCAGAATTATGCCCAGTCGGGCCTGCTTAAATCTATGAAACATGTGGCCCTAGGACAAACTCTTTCTTTCCTGGCCCTTGTCCAAATGTTGCAGTCTCCACAACCTCATGCAAGCTAGGACAGACCATGCAGCTATCAGAAACCTTCCTCCAGCACTGCTGCTTTATTTAGAACTCTTGTTCAATTTTCTTCTTCATTTTGTAAGTCTGAATTTTAATAAAGATTTATAAAGACTTTGTTACTGTAAATTTTCCTTCCTTTTAGTTAGCAAGAAGTTATAATATAACCTTGCAAAGATGATTGCATTATAGAATCAAATATGGTTTTGTTTATGGTATGGCATATTAAGATACCATGGTTACTGATACTATGGATGTAATCTAAACTAAGATTTGAGCCTTCTCTTTCTCAGTGAATTCATGATTTGGGTTGAAAAGTTGATGTCCAGTTTGAAGTTATATATTTACTAGCAGCAACTAACTCTTTGTTTAATATTTCAGTCAAAAGTTGCAAAGGTCGCTGTTTCGAGAGGACATTTGGGAACTGTCGCTGCGATGTTGCCTGTGTTGAACTTGGAAACTGCTGTCTAGATTACCAGGAAACATGTATAGAACCAGGTATAAAATTTATGGGGAAATGGAAAGGGAGTAGAAACCAGGAGAAGTAATAAAAAAAATTGAGTATGAAAGATATGTCACCATAGATCTTGAGAGAATTTGTTTCTGCAAAAGACTAATGATGAAATACCTTCCACAGCTTGACAGAGACTCAGTGGATTTGAGGTTCAGGATGAGATATAGATTCTCAGACATGGCCAATGTGTTGATTTGTTTTCCTTGAATGTACATACAAGCTAGGTCCCAATTAATGTGAAGAATGAATCCCCTGAAGTACTCACATTATTTAAATTCATACCACATATTTCCACTGGTCTGGAACCAATTACTGTACTTAACATAATTATAACTTTTGAATGGTGCAAATTCAAATATGTGTAACTCCTTCAGAGGATTTATTATTCAAGCTAATAGGAATTCTAACTATATTTGTTGTAAGGGAAGGCTTCAGCTTGGGGAGGAGTTGGCAGAAAGTAATAGGTTAGTAAGTAGAGACAGATAAACAAAAAAAAGATCAGAATCAGTAGAAATTTGATTAAATAAGATTTAAATAAAGAAATGCACAGAAGAAACAAGTATAAAAAAGAACATTAAGTAGCTTTGCTACTAGAATTAAAATTATATATAAATCTATATATACATTTGTGTATACATATAGCATACTTCTCTAAAAACAAACTACATAACAAAAGTTCATTTCCTTGTACATTCCTCTTTTCTTATTTTTGTATATTATAATTTTTTTTTTGATGACTAAGTTTACAGTAAAAAATAAGTTCAAATAAAAAGATGAAAGGCACAATCATATTCTGTGTATGACCAAGGCAGGAGCTTAACTTTTTTTTTTTTTAATCTAAGAAGAATGTGTAGACACAGCTTTTGGCTACATAGGTCACTTTTTCATAGGAAATTTATTTTATTTTTAAATTCCAACTTATTTAGCTATTTAAAAAAATGACCTTTAAAACATTTATGTTCTAATACTATTTTTTTTAGTAGTGACATGATAGAAGTATGAATGTGTTTCTTTTTAGTGCATGTCAAATAAATTTCTTCCTCTGAACTTTGCATTTGAGCTTGGTTCTTAGGGGCTGTCTGATGCATTAATTCTTTAGTTATCCTGTTTCTAGTCATTATAGACTTATTAAAGGTTATTAAAGCATGAAGTCTTGGGCATCTGTCTAATCTTAATCTTTGACCAAAAATGTTATTAGTTACATACTTTGCAGATTCATACTTTAATCATTCAGTGGCTCCATAATTGCATTGACATGGGTGTTCTCTCCACCTGAGCAGATCACAAGCTATGCACATTCTCACATTCAATATTTTATGGGTACCAGTATAACAGATTGTCTCTCTCCCAGCTATTATAACATTGGGTAAGCAGTTCACTTCCTTTTCCAGTCAGTCATATTCTTGTAGATGTTTTTTGTGCCAATTATTATATACGTTTTATTAATAATGGTCTGGAGCCTGCTTAGACCCAGCATGCAGCTAGGTAGTATAGTGAATAGAACACTGGACCTGAAGTCAGGAAGACCTGAGTTCAAATGTAGCACAGATATTTACTAGTTGTGTGATCCTGGGCAAGTCACTTAACCTTTGTTTCTCTCGTTTTCCTCATCTGTAAAATGGGAAAAATAATAGCACCTACCTCTTAGGGTTGTTTTGAGGATTAAATGAGATAATATTTGCAAAAGGCTTTGCAACCTCAAAACACTATATTAGTGGTCACTGAGAATTATGATTTTTCTGAGATTGTGATGTACCATGATTTATACCTAGATAGCATCACTAGGAGAATGTGGCTTAAATGAGCTATGAAATTTCAGAGATCAATCTTTAAAAAAAACAAAAACCGAAACAAATAAGTGGCGTTTTATGAATATATAATTTCACAACACTCAATATGGTACAGATGAAAATTCAGGCGTTTCGGGGCTGGGCAAAGGCAGAGGCATAGTACCTACATCTTTGTGGCAGTAAGGCAAAGGAGAATTGGTGCTGTGATTTTTTTCCCATTATAATAGGGGAGGATGTCTTAGTTTTTAAAATGTGAAATTGTTTTAAACTAGCGGTAGTTGCATATTTTCAGTTTGTTATCTTGATACTCATTCCCTCGAGAGCTAAGCTCAAAATTTTATGTGATTGTATGCAGGTAAGAACAGAGTTTATATAAATCTTAACCTTAAAGTATATACAGTCAATGGAAGTCAGACCTGAGACATCAGCATTTGACCTCCAGAGGGGTGTTTATGTTGGTGACTGCATTGTATCTAAATCAGAAAACATTTTATTTAACTTTTTTTTTTCTTTTGGTTCAGAGCATATATGGACTTGCAGCAAATTCAGGTGTGGTGAGAAAAGACTACCAAAAAGTCACTGCTCTTGTACGGATGACTGCAAGGACAAGAGTGACTGCTGCATTAACTATGACTCTGTTTGCCAAGGTAAGAGTTCTTGACTTGATTTTGTTTGAATAATAGGCTAAAATCTTTGCAGATGTTTCCTGGACTTTGGATCATGCTTCATATTTAAACCTTGGGAGGAAGGTGGAGAGAGCTCTTCTGACAATCATGGTTGAGAGGAGGAGGGGAGAATTGTGCCTACATCACAAGCACAGATAATGGCAATGAGGAAAGGCCCTAGAATAGGATTTGAGAGACTTTGATTCTAAGTATGTCTCTGACACTTATGATTGACTCTGTGATCTTGAGCAAGTTGTATAACTGCTCTCTCCCTTGATTGCCCAATTTGTAAAAGAAAGATAAAGGGACAGAATATTGTTTGATAAAAAAGAATGCTCTCTGGATGTAGAAGCCCTGGGATACAATCCAACCTGTGTCACATCCTCTGAGTGACCTTAGGCAGGTCAAGTTAATTTCTGGACCTCCATTTCCTCATCTATAAAAGAAGCTTAGTTTCTCCCTGCTCAAAAATGAATTTTGTATCTGCCAATATTGATTGATCCATCATGGAGTTGCTAGGAGAATCAAATGAAACAGTGGATAGGAAAACAGTAAACCAATATTAACAGGTTTTTACAAGTATGTCTTAACTATGGCAGGTGCAGAAGGAGGTATAAATTGTATGCCATGAACCACAGTTCCTTGAAATCCTGTGAAGCCTGACTGTATGAGTATGAGAGTGAATTGATTAAGAATTAAGATTTTTTTTTCCTAATGACATGGGGATTTAGATGTTGGGGATTTAGATGTTCTATAAGTTGTAGCTGGAAAACCCCAAAAATGGAAAGTGAAGAAATCTAATATCAAAATTTTATAAAAATGAAACAAAATGAGAAAGCATTTATTAAGTGCCTACTATGTGCCAAGCCCTTTACTAAGCTCTTTACAAATATTATCTCATTTGATCCTCACAATAACCTTGGGAGGTAGTTGCTATTATTATCACCATTTTACATTTGAGGAAGCTGAGGTAGATGTATCCAGCAAGCATATGTCATCCTTGGTAAAACAATCCTATGTTAGACTACTCTCTTAAACATTCTCCCATTTTTCCTGATGTTCGATTAAATGTTACTAGAGATGTAACCATTCCTTATATACTTTGATATTTCATCATGCTAGCCTGAACATTTTAAAGGTTTTAAAAAATGTTTCCTTTTGGTGATGTGCCAGCATCATAGTTCTTGATAATCTTATATTTGTCCAAATAAATTTTTATTTCTTTAAAAATCTTCTTTTTAGGTGAGAAAAGTTGGGTAGAAGAAACATGTGAAAACATTCTTGAGCCTCAGTGTCCAACAGGGTAAGATGATGAGTGACTATCCATTTTTCCCCCTCTGCTTTAAAAAAATCCCTTCACCATATTTAAGAGAGATCTTCTATGCTTCCCTTCCCCATCCTCAATGGTGTACAGTGGGATGGTAAATAACTATCCCAAAATCTTGTGAAATGTTTTATTTTACACCAGAGTATACTGGTCTATTTAATATAATATGGTTATATTGAATCAACTACTTCTTAGATCTTCAGTTTTTTCACATTTGGGCTTTAAACTCCTTTTCCCTCCTAGTCTCACACTATCGCCTTCCTTTTACTCTGTTTTTGCCAAACTGAATTACTTCCAGAACTCACATTTTCCTATAATTTTCATGCCTCTATTACATGCATCATTCATCTAAATGCACTCTATGATTCAGCCAAACTAACATTCCTGATTTTTCTCATAACATTCCTGATTTTCCCATGTTTTTGCTCAGTCTTTTCCCCATTCTTGGAATGCTCTCCCTCCTTACCTACACCTCTTAGAATTCATTGTTTCTGAAAAACTCAGCTCAAAACTAACTCCTAGATAACCCCAAATGTTAGTGCCTCATCCTATCCCCCAATTTAGCTTTTATTTATTTTGCGCATATATATTTATGTGTGGACATATTTTTTTCTCCGATAAGATAAGCACCTTGATGTTAAGGATTTGGCTTTTTGTCTTTGTATTCCCAGAGCCTAGCACAGGTGCTGGGGTATAATGAAGGCTTAATAAATACTTGTTGATTGAATGACCTCCCTCCCTCTCCATCTGTAGCAATCTGACTTTATTCTTTAAGATTCCACTTAGTTTGCCTTTTGCATGAAACTCCTTCACATTAGTTGGAAGCAATCTCTTTCTTTTCTGAATTCTTATAACACTTTGTTTCTCATATATACACTTATTTTTTAAAATTATAATTATATGTGTATAGGTGTGTTATGATTGTAAGTTTCTTAAGGGAGAAACCATGCTATATTCATCTTTGTATCTCCTTTAGTATCTAGCACAGTGCCTTGTGTATAATTAATAAGTGTTTGAATTAAATTTAGATAAAAAATAATCACAATTTTGTTTCATAGTTTTAAGAAATACATTTGCTACTTTGGTATAAATTAAGAAGTGAGAGTGGATATTTGTGGATGTTGTACAAAATTAAGAAGTGAGAGTGGATATTGTACAAAAAAGACTGTTTCTTTTAAAAGCCCTGTATCGTTTATAGGGTTATTCTTCTGAAAATTGTCCAGACAATGAAATATAGTTGGATACAACATATTGAGCTGGTACATTAGTATATAAAGTCTGAATGGATGTGGTACCTGGAGAATAAACTAGTTCCATTAACTAGGAGACTGACAATAAGGTGGATTTCTTTGGGAAACTTTGCAGTGCTTCTAATGTTCCCCAACTTCTCCCCAAAACAAAGACTAATCCTTTTTTTAACAATAACATTCTTCTAGTGATGGTATAATGGAAAAGTACATGTGGGTATGAGTAGGCTACAACATAATACCAACCAAGGAAGTACTAATCATTAAACAGATATTTAACTAGAAAAGAAGATGTGCTAGTCCATTGGTGATGAGGGACATCTGATGGATAGTCTTCATGTTCCTTTGATATCTGACTAATGTTAATTTACTAAGAAAGCTCCCAAAATGGGTTGAATGAACTCCCAGTGGATATGTTTGAGAGTATTGTGACGAGTCACCTAGAGTGATAGACTATGAGTAAATTGTGATGTGGGTATTTGGGAGTCCTCACAATGATGAACTGATAGATCCATTAGTGTCTAAGTATGCTATTTATGAGAAGGCATACATTATTTTTAAAAGTGATAGAAATAAGAGGGTGTAGTGAGATATGATTACCTCACAATTAAAGTCGTGAGAGATATTCTGAAGTGTGTTTAATAATAGCTGATTGTTTGAATTAATAATCTTAAACAATTTGTTTTCATCTCTAATAACTATTTTGTATGGGGACAAAGGAAAACGTATATATGTTTTAAAGAATATCTCCTTCTTATGAAATTGTGGCTATACTTCCTACATGGTTAAAATCTCAGAGTCATAAAAATCTATTAGATTTCCCAGCTAGATTTTCAGACAAGGGAAATTTTGCTAAATAATAAGGGAAATTTCAGGCAAGTCTTTTCTTACTGTTTCTGTTTCTTCTGAATACTGATGACATATTCAACTGACTACTGCTACACTTTTTAATGACAATTAAATAATTTTTAATTACTCTATAATTCTTTCCATGATGATCCTACTGTTGAATATAGCTGATCATCCTTAAAATTGTTTAATTGAACCTGATTATTGGTAAAAATCCAATGATTCAGATAGAATAGAATACAACAGAACACAATAGAATATTATAGCTGGAAGGCACCCTAGAGATCACCTAGTCATGCCATCTCATTCTGTAGAGGAACAAGTAAGTTGGAAATGGTGAAGTGATCTGTCAGAAGTCTCATAGTCAAGAGTTGTGATAGACCTAAACCCAGTTTTTCTGACTCTATCTTGTGTTTTTTTTAAATGAACTGCTTTTGATGCATCTCATACTATGCTTTCTATTAAAGACTATTATATATACTTATATGAATGTATATATATGTTATACATGAATTTTATATACATATATGGAGTATTATAGATGGAGAGAGCTAGCTTGGGAGTCAGGAAGATCCAGATTCAAGCCCCAACTTTGACACATACTGGCTATATGTACTTAACTTCTAATATCCCCTCACAGTTCTTTAAATTGCAGAAGAGTTACTAGTTAGTATTGATAGATGGTGTTTCCTCCTTACATCAGTGAAGCCTCAGATATCTTTCAATTTGTCCTCTTTTTTTTACTCACATTACCATGATACTAGGTCATAACCTCATCACCTCTCATCTGTATGATTGCAATAGCCTCCCAATTGGCCTCCCTAATTCAAGTTTCCCTTCACCCAAGTGAGCTGCCAGAGTCGTTTTTCTGAAGCACAGACCTTACCAAGACAGTTCCCTATTAAATAATGGCTATTGGCTCTATAACTTGTGGCTTCAAAATACAGATTCAACTCTTTAACATTAAAAGTCCTTCAAGGGCAGCTCGGTGGTGCAATGGATAGAGCTCTGGCCTCGGAGTCAGGAGGACCTGAGTTCAAATCTGGCCTCAGACACTTGACACTTACTACTTATGTGACCCTGGGCAAGTCACTTAACCCTGATTGCCTCACCAAAATAAAGTAAAATAAAATAAAATAAAATGAAAGTCCTTCATAGTTTGTCTCCACCCTCCTTTCCAGGCTTAGTATATACATCACTCCTCTTCCCATGCTTTCTGGTAAAGCTAAACTTGTCTTCTTGGTGATCTTCATGCATGATACTTTATCTCTTGTCTTTGCGCCTTTGCTCCGGCTGACCCTCCTCTCCCTTCCCCATGCCTGGAATACACTTATTATTCATCTTCTCTGAAAGTATTGGAAACACCTTATGAGAGTTGCAGTGATTTATGACTATTTCATAGTTAAAGTCGTGAGAATCTTTCTAAAATGTGATTCATAATGTTGATAATCTTGTCGTCATCTATAAGTGATGATTTTTTCACCTCTAAGTATCTCTGGTTTCTTTTAAAGCTTTGCTCCAGTGCTACATTTTCGTGAAGTCTTTCCTGATCCCCTTGATGGGATATATTTTATGTACACTTATATATGTGTATGTTAGACATGACTGAATATATATTTTATATATACATATTTGTGCATGTATATGTAGTCTTTTATTTGTACTTGTATATGTTTTCTCTCCTCCTCTCCTCCATAACCTGCACCCTGATAGAATGTAAGCTCCTTGAAGACAGGGACTATTTCATTTTTGTCTCTATATCCTCAGTGTCTGACACACAATAGGTATTTGATAGATGCTTTTTGATTGATAAAATAGTATGTGAATACTTAATAAAAATATTATATAAAATCTGTGTATCATGAAAACTCTGTCTATATAAGTGTATATAACATACATATATGGCACCTCTATATATGGATATATGTAATTTTGTTTTAACTGAGAATGTCTTCTGCCAAAATATATGAGTAACTAAGCTATAACTTATAGTCTTAAGAAGTTGTCTGGGGGCACTGAGAGGTTTAGTGATTTGTCCAAAGTTGCACAGTAAGTATGTGTCAGAAGTGGGGCTTGAACCCAGATCTTCCTTACTGCAGGTGGGCAGTTTCCTGTCTACTGTACCATGTTATTTAGATATTTATATGCAACACACACACACACACACACACACACACACATATAGATTAGATATTTAGGTGCAATACATGTATATACACACATAAAATCAGTAACTCCTAATCCTCTAAGATCCTTGTCCATATCTTTCCCTTCCTCTACCATAAGTGGGGTTTAACATACAGGAGACCTTCTTCTTGTGCTTCTGTTATCTCAAAAACCATGATGTTTATATACCTGTGCATGTAAAGTTTTTTTTTTGACAAGATTTATGTCTGGCTCTTTTTTCACTCCCATCTTAGTGGAAAATTCTTCATTATGGAGGAGTATCAAAAGGAAGGATAAAGTTCATCAAAATGCCCTTTCCTAAAAACAGCTTTTTCTTATGACCTAGGTTTGAAATTCCGCCTACCATTTTGTTTTCCTTGGATGGCTTCAGGGCAGAATATTTGCACACTTGGGGTGGACTTCTTCCTGTTATTAGGAAACTACGTGAGTAACTTTACTGTTAAACATGGCAATGTGATTTTTCAATGAAAGAGTTGATGATGGCAAACATGCTTGGAAAAGTACCAGTAGAATTCTGGATTTTGTTTTTCTTTTTCTTAACCATCCATGACTGTAAGAGGCTAGAGCAGCTGTATGATAGATAACTAAATAGTGCTTAACATTTGGGATTGCTGTAATTCCTTGCTTTACATAAAGCTGTAATAGTGACAATTATTTTAGAATCATTGGTCTTAGCCATTTTATTTGTGTTTGTTCTTTCCCAGAAGTTTGACTTCCTATAATAAATAGAAATTCTTCACATATATATATATATATATTTTTTTTGGATTTAAAGGTAGAATTTTAAACTTTTTTAAAAAATTAAAACAAACTTTAATTAATTTATTTTAATTTATCAACAATCACTTCCATAAGGTTTTGAGTTTTAAATTTTTCTCTCCCTCCCTCTCCAAGCATGAAATCTGATATAGGCTATACATATACATTCCTATTAAACATATTTTCACATTAGTGATGTTGTAAATAAGAATTAGAACCAGTAGGAGGAACCACCAGAAAGAGGAAACAAAACACAACAGAAGAAAAAAAAATAGCAAAATAGTATGATTCGATCTGCATTCAAACTCCATAGTTCTTTCTTTGGATGTGGATAGCTAGAATTTTAAACTTTAAGCAAGAAATTGAATTCCTGTTAGAATATTGGTTTATCCCTAGAACCATAGTTCTTATGTAGAAGGGAAAAGCATGGAAACTTTGTATACTAATTGCTTCTAATAAATCCACCCAATTTATTCATTTCCATCAACAGCCTCTGCTAATTGATCATTGTGTACAAAACACTGCATGTATTACTGATGCAATAATTCATGCCAAAGATTTAAATCATATTAACAAACAACTTTATGAGGATCCATTTTTCTCTTAAAGCCCCATTGTCTTTACTAGTGAGGAAGGATGGGGTGTACTTGGGTATTTAAAACTACGGAATTTTTCTCATTGTCATCACCCTAGTCTATTATACTTACCATTCTATTGGGGCAAAATAGAAGAAAGTAAACATTCATTTTTAAAAATTGACTTATATCATAAGGGTCATATTCCTAGGGAAGTAGTTAGGACATAGCTGTGATGCTAATGGAGCAGCTCAGTGGCACAGTGGACAGAGTGCCAGCTCTGGAGTTAAGAAGACTCATTTTCCTGAGTTCAAATCTGGCCTCAATTTTTATTAACTGTGTGACCCTGGGCAAGTCGCTTAACATGGTTTGCCTCAGTTTCCTCATCTGTAAAATGAGCTGGAAAAAGAAATGGCAAACTACTCCAGTATCTCTACCAAGAAAGCCCCAAATAGGGTCACAGAGTCAGACATGACCGAAAATGACTGAAGAACAACATGATGCTAATGACTAATATGGATTTGGTTAATGCTCTGTTTTTTCCAAGCTTTGAAAGATTTGACTTTATACCCATTTGTGGAACTTAAATTCTGGAGTCTTAGTTGGCTTATAAACCATTTTAATAGTTGTTCTTTTGATTTTCCAAAATAATAATTACAGTGTGGTATATGTCAATGTGTGATCTTTATTTTGTTTAAGGTATCAAAATTCCTCTGATGTGCATAAAAGAATTAATTTTTCTTAGATTAATCTTTTGAGACTTCTAAGTGATAATGTTTTCCATAGTAGGATAAGAATTTAATCCAATTAATTGATTACATTATTTTAAACAATTGATAGAAGAAGGCTATTTTGTGTGTGCCCCCTCTCAAATTAGTTTTACCATGGAAAAAATCCCTGTATAAGTAAGCATTACCAAATAGTAAGTATTCTCTATTAAGCATTTAATTTTCATGAATCCATGCTTAACATCTAAGCACGCATGGTTTGAGATTGGATGTCAGAAGTTTATTAGTAGTAAAGGAAAGGAATTTTATCTGAGGTAAGATAAAATCACAATCCTGAATTCATCATTGTGCTGCCAAAATCAGATAACATAGAATAATTAATGGTCTTGAGGTAGTTTGTTTTGTGTTACAAATTAAAAAAAAAAATAAATCCACAGGTTAGCCAGGTACAAACTATGAGGCAAAAATGAAGTGAAATTGTTTGTACTTCCCAGGTAGCTGCCTTTGCTAGTGACCAGAAGTGTGGCCCCAAACTCTTACTTTTATTTATGCTTAGACTAGTCTGAGGCTAGTTCTCATCAGTGGCTGCCATGCTGTTAATATCTTATAGCAGATCACATCTTTACTGTCACACAATTGACTGATAGTTGCAGAAAATGCAATAATTTATAGGTCTTAACTGTTTGTTGACTATAAAAACAGTATTTGATTTGGTGGGAAAAAGTACTTGCTTCAACACTTTTTACCAATAAGGTATCTTTCAGGTATGAATTTAGATCATAAGATTTCTTCCTAGATGCAACAAAGATAATTTTGCTTGATCTTTTGATTATTGATAACAAGAAAGAAGCAGGAAGTTGCATGTTAAAGATTTTTGCCACTGGTATTGAATGCATCCAGGTGAGAATCAATATGGAAAGATTCCTGATGGATGGTGAGATCTTCCTGTTTATAAGAGCCATTGTTTTGATGACATCAAGCTCCATAATGCTGCTGATCCTCTATAATTAGATCTACAACTAGGAAAAAAGATTTAATATAAGTAGACACAGAAGAAGATCAAGGAAATTTAAAACACCCATTTTTGAGACTATGATAGACAAATTTAATTACAAATATATCTTATATAGACATTGAAGATTGGTGAGCCCAAAATTAAACATATGAGAGTAGTCCAAATTGTTTTGTTTTATTTTATTCTGAACTTAAGAACTAAAACAAGAATTTCCATAATATAGTAGAATAAAAAAGATGACTGCACATAAAACTGCAAATCTATTACATATAATTTGCTATTCCTTTTAAATATATAATAATTATCATATAACTTTCTTTTTCCCCCCCTTTTTTTCTTCCCTCTACTGTCCCACCCTAGAGATGGCTACCATTAGACACAAATATGTAGTATGTAAATATATATGTATGTATATATACACACACACAGACACAAACATACATACATACACATTTATATGTAAAACCATCCCATACATACTATTATTTATCAGTTTTTTATCTGGAAATTGTTCAGTGCTTCTAGTTTCCCCATTTTTTCCCAAGCAAAAAAAAAAATCTTACTATCAAAACTTTTCCAGCAATGCTATTGGGCTACAAGTCATGGAATAATACATTCTTTAAGGAATCAAAATTGCAAGTTCACCCAAAAGGCAATGACAAGTTGCATTTGGGCACAAGTAAGATGTACAGTATATCAATGATGAATTATATAGAAAAAATGACAGCTTATATATTGTCTAGGGGCTTCAGTAATGTCAAGAGACCTAAAGGAAGGCTCTTGAAATATTGATGAATAGACTTCCTTTGAAGGATTTACTGGAAAATCTACAGAAGATTTATGAATGACAAAGATGTAAATGGGTTGAAATTTGCATTTGAGGGAGTACTCATTTTGAGGAGATTATAGATCCATTGAAACATTGCCTGATTAAAAAGTAATGGTTTATTCTACTCTTCATGACCCCATTTGAAATTTTCTTGGCAAAGATATTGGAGTGATTTGCCATTTCCTTCTCCAGCTCATTTTACAGATGAGGAAACTGAGTCAAATAGGGTTAAGTGAGTTGCCCAGGGTCACACAGTTAGTAAGTATCTGAATCTAGATTTGAACTCAGATCCTTCTTGACTCTGGACCTGGCACTCTATCCACTGCACCAACTAGTTTGGGCAATATGGTTAAACCTTACTTTGAGAAAATACTAAATACTAAAATCAAAACTTTAAAGAGTATATTAATGAATAGGTCACCCCCATTAATTAGTATGAAATGATTTTTTTCTTTAAAGGAAGATTAACATGTCCTATATTGAAGAAAGTTTCACTTGTGCATACAGTCATTGGCTTATAGAGGGAGGTTAGGTTATGGATTCAAGTGTGATAATTACAGGTATAGGAACTCCAAACTTGTTAGGTAGGAGTCACTGTCAATGACAGACCTATCAGAAATCAAGAAAAAGCATCTCTGAAATTACAGTGTTAGTCAGTAGAAAGATGACTTGATTTTTGCTAAAATTTTCATAGGTTCATAGATTTAGATCGGAAAGGGATGATAAAGATAATGTTATCCAGCCTCTTTATAACTGGCCCAAGTTCACACAGATGGCAGAATGACAGAGCTGTGATTCAAACACAGATTTTCTGATTTCACATTGAGTCTTATCCCATAGCTTCACACTAGCCTTCTCCTACACATTTATTAAATAAAATAAAACACATCGCATCTATTTATTTTTAAATATTAATAAATTCATCTAAAGACTTTTATTGCTTATAAATTGATAAATATTTTAAATTTAAAAATGAAATTTGGTATGCATTTTTGTATCATGTTTAATGTTTGTTGATTAATGTGGAATTAATTGCTTAGCTTTCTTTCATTATTTGTACTTCAGTTATCAAGGAGTTTGTCTATGTGCGTTCTACTTCAATTAATGGAATTTGCAAGTTCTTTATGCATTGGTAGATTTTCATCAAGAGTTGCTGAGGAAAAAAAAAAGAAATTATCATTTGTTGTTTAATCTCCTAGTATTAAGTCTTTGCAAATTTAGACTGATCCTTGTACATAGTATGGTGCATTTTGTCTTTGAGAATATTAGAAGCTTTTCTAACTTGTTAGGACTTGGCAGAACTCAATGTTCCACTGTAGTATGTGGAAAAGCTGTAGTGGCTTCCAAGGTATGATCAAATGTTGTAGAACTTTAGTGTTGGATTTCTACGTACATTAGAATTACATTAGAATGATTTATGCAATTTTATTTGACATCTTTTTAAAACCCAAGACCAATTTCATTATTCCTGTGATAGTTGCTGATATTAATGTTCCATCTATTTCTAAAAGAAGCTAAGCTGGTGATAAAACTTATATAGTAATTAATGATAATCTTTTTTTGCCTTTAGAAAATTGTGGAACATATACTACAAATTTGAGACCAGTATATCCAACAAAAACCTTTCCCAATCACTACAGCCTTGTCACGGTAAGTAAGCTATATATTTTCTTTTCTGTTTTCACTGAGCAACAGTGAAGATATAATGTTACTGGGAGTTTTTATTTGGAGTTTTATTTTTTTAATGAGGTGACTTGTGAATTCTTATTATGTTTACTTTACCTTCTATTTCTAAGAGATCTGGGCATTCTTTTATGGTTTCTTGAAATAGGATGTCTAGGATCATTTTGTTTTTGGTCATGGCTTTTAGGTAGTGCAATGATTCTTAAATTATCTCTCTCTGATCTCTTTTCCGGGTCAGTTGTTTGGATATGAACTATTTTCTGCTTTTTAAAAATTTCTTCAGTCTTTTGACATTGTATTAATATTTCTTATTGTCTCATAGAGCCATTAGCTTCTGTTTGGTGCATTCTAATTTTCAAGAAACCTATTGCTTGGTTGAGGTTTTGTACCTCTTGTGCCAGATTGTTAATTTACTTTCCAATTTCTTTTCCCCATAGTTCTGATTTCTTTCCTCCAAACACAATCATGTCCTTTCTAATTCTTTTCTTTAGTACCTACATTTCATTTATAAAATCATTTTAGCTTTAAAAGAAATCTTGCTCCAAGTCTTCTAGGCATTCTAGTTGAACTTGTGCTCAAGCTGTAATTTTATCTTTGTGTCTGTGGTTGTAAATATTTTAGAGTTATTCTCTTCTTCTGGGTTTGTGTATTAAGTATATGTTAGACTAAAATATCTCTTTGTGATGGGATTATTTTTTCCTTATTCTTTCAGCTTTAATTCCTTACTTTGGCCAGGCCCTCTGTATTTCTTGAAGGAAACTATGGGATGTGCTTGGTCCTGTTTTGTGTCCTGTTGGCTTGTGCTGCTGCTTTCGTGAGGGTACTGGGTATTGCTTTATTCCAGAATTTCAGGGACAGTTTGGTCTGGGGATCTGTTAGCTTTCAGTGCGCCCAAAGCAGTCTGATCCAAGTTGAAGTCTGAGCATTGCCCTCCTTATCTGAGCTTTGAAAGTTTCTGACTTGGCTTTGAGGATACTGCTGCTGGATTTAGCCACTGTGAATCAACTGGAAAACCCTGCAAGTTCCCCTTTGGCTAGAGCTTCCTGCCATGATTATTCTATGACAGGCTTCAGTTTGGGTTGGGGATTGGATCTGAGACCCTCCTCTGTTCTTGGAGTTAGAGCTACCTAGCTTCTGCATGCTTATGTACTTACCCCTTCCTCAGTACACAGCTCAGAGCTTGGCTAAGCACAGGTCCCTACCTCAGTTTGCATTGCACCTTTGACTGGCACTAGTCATATGACCAGTAAGTGATAGAGCTGCCATTTATCTTCTGTTCCTGCTCTGTGCATAACATCATGCCCTTCTCTGCTAGATCTGGAATGTTTTCTTGCCCCTGATACATAACCACTGGCAGGTCCAAGTTCAGTCCCAGCCCAACACTTTGCTACTTTCCCTCCTCTTTGCCTATCTTCCTATTCTGACCTGGGCTGCAAAAATGATTCTTTGTAATTTTTCTAGGGTTTCTTTTTTTTTTTATTAAGACTCACACTGGTGCATTTTCTAGATCTTTGTGGAACAGTTGTTGGGGGAAAGCTTGGGTGTAATATTTGCTCCTACTACACCATCTTGGCTGACCTCACTATAACGTAAGATTTAATTCAGAGTTTTTAGATTTTAAAAATTAAAACTTTTACCCAGTATGTAGTTAAAATATTATTTTAAAAAAGTTTTATTGATGCCTTTGTTTTCATATCAAAAGATTACTGAATACCTGAATGTCTTTCTTCTCCCATATACAGTGAACATTCCTCTGTACTCAATGGGAAAAAAAATAAGTAAAACCAATGAACTCATCAGGTGTTTCTAGAAGTATATATCATATTCCACACCCAAAATGCCCCATGTCTTCAACAAAAAGAGACGATCATTTTTTTTCCTCATCTCTCTATTGGGCTAAGGAAGGTCATTGTAACTACAAAGCATTTAAGTGGGTTTTTTGTTGTTGTTGTTGTTGTTATCTTGGAGGTTGTTTTGGTCTTTGGTCTTTATATTTACATTGCTGTGTACTTTGTCCTCCTGGTTTTACTTTACTCTGCCTCAGTCACTACAAATCTTCCCATTTTTATCTAAGTACTTCATGTTTGCTGTTTCATATGCTGCAATTAATATTCCAGGAAATTCACATATCATATTTTGTTTAGACATACAGTGGCCATACAGTCCAGTACTTTGCTGCCACACACACACACACACACACACACACACACACACACACACACACGCACACACACACACACACGCACACACACACACACAAATACTGCTGGGAATGTATAGAACCTTTCATTTTTTCCTTATTCTCCTTGGCGCATGTTGCCTAGAAATGGCATCTGTGTTGTCTAGAAGTGTCCTGAATCTTGTAGCTATTTTTTTGTATATATAAACAAAATTATTTTCTAGAATGGTTGAATCAATTTACAGTTTCATTAGCATTATACTAGTGTTTCTTCCCATAGTCTCTCCAAAATCTACTTTTTCTGTTTTTACCATTTACTGGCTCTTGGTCATATATTTTTATTAATTGGCAATATATATTGGATATTCAGCATTTATCAGAAATATTTCATATGAAAATTTTTTTCTCCAACTGACATTTCCCCCTCTTTGCTATGTTGATTTTGTTTGTACAAAATCTTTTCAATTTTATGTAACTGAAATTCAAGAACCAGAAGGAAACGATGGAAAGATATTCCTCTTATAATGACTTCAAAGTACATAAAATACACAAGCATTGACCTACTAAGACTAACTCAAGATCTGCAGAAATTCAACTATAAAACATTCTATAGATGTAAAGGAGGACTTAAATGATTGGCTATATAGCAATTGTTAATGGTTGTGCCATAGTAATATAAAAATAGTGATTATATTACCTAAATGAAATTATAAATTTAGTGCTACGTCAATAAAACTATGAATGGGTGACTTTATAGAGCTAGATTAAATGATAACTATTCATTTGAAGGAACAGGAAGTCTAGAATCTCAAGGGAAAAAACATCAGGAGTGAATGAAATAGTTCTTTTGAACATATTGTCCTATAAACTGGTAATCATTAAAACTATATAGTTCTGGTAAAAAAAAAAGGAGAAAAGCAAATCAATGGAATAGCAAATCTCAGGAAAAGTAAAATATTTTCTCAATGTTTGATAATTTCAAGAACATAAACTACCTGGGGAGAGGAATTTCTTGTTTGTTAAGAAATTATGGGAAAATTTGGAAAGTAGTTTAAGAAAAAAGATATGTTTAAACCAGTATCCTGCACAATATATAAGAATTTCCAAATGGATATTTAAATATAAAATGTTACATCATAATAAAATTGGAAGAAAATGAAGGAAGATACCTTTACAGCTATTGCAAGGCAGGGTGGGTGGAATTCTTAACCAAAAAATGGATAGATATCACAAAGGATTAGTTTCATTTTTCATCAAGCATACTTCATTTGACCAACTTTATTTTCCCAAACTCACGTGTGCTCCTCTGGTCTTTGTAACTGACTTACTTTGTGAATCTGAGCAAATGATTTTACCTGATAACAGAGTTATAATCCTATTATGATTTGGGACAAAATTTTCTATCTTAATGTGATTCAAGGAGGAACTGAATTTCACTGCAAAGTACAAAGCCTAGGAATTTCTTTTGGCCCAGTTTTGTGCAAGCTTTTTTTTGCACATTAGTCAAATTAGCTTATTCTAATAACTCTACAGATTAGATTTTATTGGGAATGCATTCCATTGCAATGTGAAATAATTTAGGATCTTTTCCTCGTAGCAATTTAGGTATTTTGCTTCTCTAAACTTCATATCTTTCAATCTGACATCTGTCTGTCATTTCTGACTTCTTTTATTGTCTATTTATAGTCACAAATACCAAATAATCCATCGAAGTAAGTTTTATTTTGGCAAAACTTGTCCTTTTGTTGTTATGGTTCATAGAATTATATATCTAGATGTGAAAGGTACCTCAGAGACAGTGTAGTCTAATCCCCTCATTTTACAGATGAGAAAAGTGAAGCTCAGATCAGTATTAGAGACAGAATTTGAATCCAGGTCCTCTGATTGCAGAACCAGGACTCTTTCTACTGTACCAAAAATGCCTACCTTAAATCATGTGTTCTTTAACAGATACAGTTACCGGCTGACTACTGATACCAGGATGATAATTTTAGTTTAGTTTTTTTTTCTTTGCTGTGGTGGTGGTGGAGGAGGAGGAAATATATTCAATACTCATACTGTTTGTATTACATTGATTTAAATATTCTTTTTAGGGTCTGTATCCTGAATCCCATGGAATCGTTGACAACAAAATGTATGACCCCAAAATGAATGCTTTCTTTGCACTTAAAAATAAAGAGAAATTCAACCCAGAGTGGTATAAAGGAGAACCTGTGAGTCCTTTGTTTAATCTTCCGAAAACATTTCTTTTAAAACCCTTACTTACTTCATTCAGAGTCAAATGTCAGATTCCCTGGAGTTTAAACAACCTACTTCCTGGTGAAAATGAAGATGATGTTTCAGTAGGTTTTTCTGGAATGGTTGGATGCTTCTTGGTGGCGGCTGGTTATACTGGCCTACTTCCTCCTCATACCAGCAGCACATATCTGTGAGACTGGGCTGGGGAATAGTTTTCCTCCATGCAAAGTTTTCCTCCATCCAAAGGCTCATCACAGGATGTCTGCCCTAAAAATTTAGGGGTACCTTTTAATTGCAATTCAAATGTGCTATTCTTTTCATGGATGAAAATTAAAAAAAAAATCTTGTCACAGCAATTATAAAGTTTCCATTTAGACAGCTTTTCATTCCAAAAGGAACTCTGTACTATGATATTACTTGAGCCAAGGAATAAGTTAACCAATAGGATCAGAGAATATGTAAGCTTCTGAGAGTAATACATTTCTTTCTGGAAAAAAAATATTAATTGAGTATACAACTCTAGATTTGGCAGGACTCATTACGAGATTTTTGAAGTTAATTTTTTTTTTATCTCCAATTATTTTCATTGCTCTGTGCTGTTATTCAAAGAACTACATAATCCTTTTAAAAGGTAATGTTTTCTAGTAGATGGAACTTGTTACATTTAAAAAATAAAACATTTTACAGTACTACGTTAATGTATTGATGCTGATGAAATCTCTTAACTGTTAAATGCTTATATAATTTCCTGATTCTTCTTAATTATCTCCTCAGATTTGGCTTACAACTAAGTATCAAGGTCTTAAGTCTGGAACATTTTTTTGGCCTGGATCAGATGTGAAAATTAATGGAATTCTTCCAGATATCTATCAAATGTATAATGGGTATGTTTGCATGGATTTTTTTTTTTTTTTACTAAGGTCATAGGATCATATATTTGGAACTAGAAGACAGCTTAGAGACCATCCAGTCCAGCTTCCATATGGCGCAGGTGAGGAAAATGAATCAGGTTCATTGACCTACCCAGGGTCACACAACCAGAAAGTGTCCAAGATAAGATATGAAACCAAATTTTCCTGACTCCAGGTCTAGTGTCCTATCTACTACTCAATGCTACCTCTCAGCACAGTGTAATGAAAAGAGTACGGGACTTAGGGTCAGGAGATCCGGGTTCAAATACTACCTTTGGCACTCATTAGCTGTGTGATCATGAGCACAATCTCCTTAAGCTCTCTGAGGTTCAGTTGTCCCATAAATGAAAGAGATATAATAATACAGGTATTACCTACTGTGTGAAATTATTTCAAGGAAAATACTTTGTAAACTTTAAAGAGCTATGTAATTGTGAGTTGTTATTAGGAGCATGTGGAAGACCACTTTACAAATGGTATCTTATATCCTTTGTAGAGCCTTAAATTCTAACATCTCAGTTCGAAAGGGTGGAAGAGAGTTAAGAAAATAGGAAATCTATCTTAAAGAAAATATAAATGGCAGCAGGACATGAACTTGGAATTTTTTTTTTTACCTTCTAATTATAGTGTCTGAGAAGCACTGGTGGGTGTGATGTCCTATTGACATTCTACCATGCTGAGGTCTTTGGGCAGGGATAAAAGAGTATAGGACACCAGAGAGTAAGAAATAAAGTATGACTGTCCTCTTCTGGAGATATGGAGATGATTTGTTAGGAAAAGAAAGGTGAAGTGTCTGGAAAAATATGATAGGAAATGTCAGTGTTTACCCTGGCCTCTCAGTACTTCACCTTCAACTCCCATGTCCTCTATTTCCATTATATCAGTGACCAAGGGGAGTAGTCATAGTTCAATCTTATAATCACTCGGAATCAACCTCCAACTTCTTGAATTCTGAAGTTCCTTTCTCTGATCAAAATCTTTTCCTCTTCCAATTCTTTGTCCTTTGTCCTAATGCCTTTCTATCGATTAATCCTTCCTGGTTTTCTGAGTTTGTCACTCATTCTGCTTTTACTTCTGTACTCTTAAAATCAACCATTTCAATAACTCACTGTTTTCCATTCTTAACACCTCAACGCCTTCCTCTTCCATTCTCAAAATCTTCAACCCTGGGTCACCTCCAACATCTGCTTTCTCCATGAGCTACTGAGTGCTCCTGGAGGAAGTCATGAATTCAAGCTAACTGGATCCTTTATAAATTCATGCTAAGAGGAACCCTTGCCACTGTGCTGCAGATTTTTATTCAATTCCAATTGCCTATCATAATCTTTACGGCAAGTGTTATTGACCTACCCCTTTGTGCTTAAGTCTTTATTCCATCCACATCTCTATCCTCATTCACACCACCACTACTCTTATTACTTCTCACCTGGGATATTATGATAATTTCTTAACTGGTCTTCTTGCTTCAGGTTTCTCCTTTTTCTAAATGATTGTTCACCTGACTGCCCACATAATCCTCCTAATGAAAAGGTTTAACAATGCATCTGTTCTGATTCCCCATTGCCTGTGGGATAAAATAGAAATGTTTTAGCCAGAAACATTTAAGGTGATCCATAATCTTGTTCCAGACTACATTTCCAGCCTCATTCCCCACTATTCTACTTTTTTTGTATTCTGTTACAGCCAAACTGGTCTGACACCATCCTTCTCTCTTTTGATTCATGTATTTATTCAGGTGTTCCCTTGTGCTTGGATTGTAGTGCAACACTCACTCTGGAGTCAGAAGACTTAGATTAAAATCCTATTCCTGACACTATCTGTGACTTTGGGCAAGTCATTTAGTCTCTTTGGGCCTCAGTTTACTTGACTGTGGAGTGAGGGAATTGGACTAGATGGCTTCCGGCAAACCTTCTAGCTCTATCATTCTCCTTTACATCTTCACCTATTAAAACCCTCTACTTCACGGGCCAGCCTAGGTCCCTCTTGTTGTTCAGTCATTTTTCAGTCATGTCCAACTCTTTGTGATCCCATTTGGGGTTTTCTTGGTAAAGATACTGGAGTGGTGTATCATTTCCTTCTTCATTTCATTTTACAAGTTCACAAGCAAGCAGGGTTAAGTGACTTATCCAGGTTCACACAGCTAGTAAGTGTCTGAGGCCAGATTTGAACCCAGGAAGATAAGTCTTCCTGACTCCAGGGCAGGCACTCTAACCACCATGTAACCTAGCTGCCCCAGCTTAGGTGCTACCTCTGCCTTAAAGTCTTTTCTGATCCATTGACCTGAAAGTCATTCCTTGCTCCTAAAATTATTGCAGCATTTTATATGGTTTTTTCTTTTGCCCTTACAACATTCTATCTATATCATATTTATTTGCGTACAGGCCTTCTGTCTCCATTCTCCTTTCCTCAACCCTGTTGCCTTAGACTATTGCTGTTGTAACAAAGATAGATTAACCAATAGGATCAAGTTGTCTGTTGCTGGAGGGCAAGCCTCTCTGTGTTTTCCACCTTTGTATGTTCCAAACCTAAGCCAAAGTAGGCACTCAATAAATGTTTTATGAATTAAAATAGAAAAAAGTATTTGAAAGTTAGCCAAGTTTGCTGGCAGGAAGTTAGACGAGAGTCTTGGTTGTTATTTGAATGAAAAGGTTAAAGTAATTAAGAGAATTGCCTGAAAATCATTGATTTTTAAACCATTGTTATTAAGTGTGAGAACCTTATTAGAGAAGCTTGCTTTTGATACTAAGATTTCATGATCTGGAGCAAGAGTTCTTAACTAGAGTGTATTAATTTGTTTTAAAAATATTTTGATAATTTAATTTTAACATGTAGTTTCCTTTATAATTCCACATATTTTTATTTTATGCTTTTAAAAGCATTATTCTGAAAAGAGGTCTATAGGTTTTGCCAGACTGCTAAAGGGTTCCATGATACAAAAAAAGAGAAAGAGAGAAAGAGATCACACTCATAAGTTATAACTGGAACATTAGTGTTTATCTTAGCATTTCACAAATAAGACTTTTAGAAGGATTGTAGAGGTTAAACAACTTGTCTTTGTTCCCATAGCTAGCAAGTAAAGTAATTAGGGCAAGAGTCCAGGTCTCTAGACTTTAGTCCATTAAGTCTTTCTTAAGATTTTTTTCAGGAAGTTCAATTCTAATGAGAACTTTAAAATAAATTTATTCATTGTTCTCTAGAAAATGCACAAGATAAAATGAGTTACTGTCTCATGACTAAATAAATTGTTTGGGAAGAAAGAAAGACATATAATGAAGCCCTAATCCAGAAATAAATACTGTTAAAATGCTTCTCTGTTACTCTACTAGTATTCTTCTGGGTGTATATAAGAGTTTTTCCTTGGCTCCTCTGAGCTCAGGAATTATGCATTCCCTTAATCTGGTGAATATAGTCAATTAAGAGAACCCATTTATGGTAAAACAATAGTGTTGCATGTTTTATGGAATTGCTGGGATGTTACAATGCATAATGTTGTTTCCAAAGTATTATTGGAAGCTGTTTGACATAGTATCTATGGATCCAGCCTTGGAGAAGGGGAGACTTGGATTCAAATCTTGACCCTGACAAATACAATCTGTGTGATGGTGGACAAATCATCTAACCTCTCAATATCTTTTGAATCTCTCTAAGCCTTTTTACAAATGAGTTACCAATCTACATTAGATGAAATTAGAGTTCCAGACAAAAAAAAAGGTGGTTTCTACAACTTTTACAAATATGAATATTTAGTCTCAAATGTGGTACATAGTACAGAGAAAAACTACCTACCTTCTTTTATGACAACAAAATAGTTGGCTTCTTTGAAGTATAGTAATACCTACCTCTGAGAGTTATTGTGAAGCTCAAATGAGATAATATTTGTAAAGTGTTTAGCAAAGTGCCTGGCACATAGTAGGTATAATATGATTGCTAATTTTTAAAATTATTATTTACCAAAGAAAACTGTGGTTTTTAGGCTAAACACTTGGTGCTTTTCTCTGCTTCCTTTCTCTGCTTCTTTTCAGCAAGGACACACAGCATTTAGCCCAGTGCCTGGTATATAATAGCTGCTTAGTAAATATCTGTTTATTGACTGACTGACTTACATCAGCCCTTGTCACAGATATTTTCTTTTAATTTGTCTTTTGTCTTACTTATTTTTTTTTTTTTCAGTTCTATCCCATTTGAAGAAAGAGTTTTGGCTGTTCTTCAGTGGCTAAAACTTCCTGAAGATGAAAGGTATGTAGGTGCAGAATTGATATTCTATGTTCTCTCTTGTCTTATTATCTTATAGAAGTTAGCTATGTAACTTAATTAAAAAGAACAACTTTTCATAATCTTAATTGGTTTGCTATACTTGCTAATGTGGCCTTGACTAATCTATTGGATTAATCATTTCAAATGCCTTTTCAAGGCATCCAACATAAAATTTCTTTCTCAACAGTTTAAATAATACCTCTGTGATATGAAATGGATTTTATTTGATATCTATTGTTGAATTAATCTTTTCTACTCTATGTTTCAATGTGTTCATAAAATATTACATTTTGATACTGTTTGATTTAGACCACACTTTTACACTCTGTATTTAGAAGAACCAGATTCTTCAGGTCATTCATTTGGACCCGTCAGCAGTGAAGTAAGTACCTTTTCATTGGTAACTTTATAGAACAAGGTAACCTAAGTGAAGCTGAATTTTAAGTGGGTTCCTGACAGTCTGTAGGACTTCAGGGACAAAGTGAATGAAGGATGAGAGAAACTGTACTGAACCAAGTCTTTGAACTTCTTAGAGGAACAATATCCAGGATGACTACAGTCTTTAGGAGAGTGGTTTGCTTCTATGTAGTTTCCTTATTTCCTGGGCTGCTTCTTAAAATTGATGGCAATACAAAAACTTAATCAACATTGTCCAGGATCCTGGGTTCAATATCAGTCTTAAAACTAAATTCTTACCAGTCAAGGGTTTGTAATGATGATGATGCATTTATGTGGCACTTTAAGGTTTGCAAAGCACTGTACATATGTTACATCATTATATCCTCACAATAATCCTGGGTTTTGAATGTTATTTTTATCCCTATTTGTACAGATAAGGAAACAGAGACATATAGAGGTTATTTGACTTGCACAGTGTCACAGAGCTAGTAAGCGTCTGAGGCAAGGTTTGAACGTATGCCTTCCTTGACTCTAGGTCCAACATCATTTCTTCTGTACCACCCAGCAGACTGTCAAGATGCCAGATCTCTGTGATTTCATAGGAGGAGGTGGGCAGTGACAAAGGAAGCTCTTTCTTACTCTCTTTGGATAGTTTCCTGTTTTTTCTCTTTTCTTTTCTTTTTTTTTGTTTTCATTTCACTTTTATTTGCATTCTAATGTCATATTTACTCCCATGCCATAAGCTTTTGTTTCTTCAGTTTCTTCTTGGATATCTTTTTCTTTTGAGCAACCTCCTCTTCTGGTTTAGGAACAATTTGTTCCTTTTCAGTAAGTATTATCTCAATATGGCAAGGAGAACTCATGTATGGGTTGATTCGACCCTAAGCCCTGTAAGTACCCTGTCACATTTTGGGAGCCTTGTTAACCTGGATATGTTCAATGACAAGAAAATCCACATTCAAACCCTTTAGTTCTGTGTTACTCTCTGCATTTTTAAGCATATGCAGCAAGAATTCAGCACTCTTTTTGGGCCAACGATCCTGTATTCAACCCCACTGCTTAGCCTAGGCACACCTGCCAACTGCACCATTATATCGCCAGAAGGGAACACATTGTTTCTTCAATGTGACATCTTTCAAATACTTGGTAGCTTTTCGGATATGCATACCCTTGATAGCTTGGGTTGTTTCACAGGTATTCTTGAAGTGGACCCTGAGATTTGAATCCCTTGACTTACATGATTTTGTGGGGTCCTCTGGATCAAGAGAGTACCTCACTGTTTTAAATGATTACCTAGAACGGGTCAAGGGAAGAGAAGTTTCCTGTTTTTTAAAGACTACCTTAATTATCAGAATGTTATGAAGAGTTGGAGGGTTGGGAGTTAGGTCAAAAGTGCTCCTAAATCTTGACAGAATTTACTTTGACAACTAGACATGTAGAAAATGAATATAGCCTATGAAATAACAGTTGGGGACAACACTGCTTCTATACCATATATTAGCAAAAATCTGTGTGTACTGTCACTCTTTTTACAAATGCAAGAGGCTCTTGAACACACTTGTATCAGTTATCACTCTTCACGTGGAAGCCCAGCAGGAACTACAAGGAAAGGATATTTGAGTTTCATATCTTTTTTTGTTTAAATATACTTATTTAATTCTTAGCTTGCTTGCTTCTGGCTTTTATTATGTCCCTTCTCTTCCCATGTAGGCAGGTAGGTTTGAATTAGACAGCAAGCAAATTTTAAGTAAAGTTATGTACATATGATAGCACAACACAAACATGTTTCAGGGAAAACTATAGTCAGATGGCGGTTTTATCAAATAACCAATCAACTTGCTTATGCTAGCAGAGCCAAATAGACTAACTCTGTTTTTTAAAAAAAGTTATTGGTTGTTTTGATGACAGATATAGAAGCTGTGAAGCATAGTGCAAAGAGCATTGGATTTTGAGTCAGAGGATCTGGGTTCTAATCCTAGCCCTATTGCTTATTAGCTGTTTGATGTGGAAAGGTCACCTTTCTCCACTTCAGTGTCTTCATATGAAAGCAAGGATTAGCTGATTCCCCTACCAAGTCTAAATCCTGTTATCCTATTTTGTTCAGTCAAATATTTAGCCTGAGCTTGAGTGGTGATATTCTTCACTCTTCAGAAGGGACCTTGAGAATCTATGTAGGGAGGGATGGCTTCATTGTCTTTGGTGTTTTCAGTACTTGCAACACTTGGGATAAGCTCATCTTTCAAATAATTAAAATCTAAAAGCATTTCATAGCCCAGTATGAATGATCTATTTCTATCTTTTCAGAGAATCTACTTTCCTGATTCATCTTTGGAGTTCTTGGTTTATCCATTTTTGAGCCTGTCTCTCAAATTTAATTTATTTGCAAACAATAAGATAATTTAAATTTTCAGAAAAATTTAAACTTGATTTGTGTTGGTTTAACAAAATGTTAATTTACGTTGCCTGTGTATCTTTGAATGAATGAGAGAGGTCATAATGATAAAGACTGTTAGCTCACTTCTAGAATAGTAAAATATAGATAAAGTAAAAGTAAGAAAGATAGATAATAATAAAAAAATAGATAAAGATTAAGCTAATTTGACATATTACCTAAGTATAAAGCTGAACATGAATACTGATGGGGTGTTTTCTGTGTGGAGAGTTGGAGTTCACTAGACACACAATACAAACTCAGTTGCAATGCGTCATTTAGCTGTTAGAGTAATACCATGGTCAGTTTTTGTTAAGCTCATCAATCTGAGTTGAGTCATAGTTTGAATCAGAGGTATTCCGTGAGTATTTGCCAAGCAGAGGTCTTGGGGAGGGGTTTGTCAGATTGGTCATAGTTGTTTCAAAATCTTAAGATGATTAAGCCATTTCAGTGCTCAGTTATTATTTCCTGCTTTCAATGACCCCCCTGATTCCTGAGCCTCAAATGAATGTTTTATATAGTATAGCTATGTACTTCAATATGCTTTTCCTTAAAAATATAAATGGATTTACAGAAAAGAAAATATTTGGAGCCAAAATTCAACCGCAAGTTTGTTCCACTTGAAATTTCTTCTCTTTCCTAGGTCATCAAGGCATTACAGAGAGTTGACAACATTGTTGGCATGTTAATGGATGGTCTTAAAACAATGAACTTACACAGATGCATAAACCTTATTCTTGTGTCAGATCATGGTAATTTAAATTCATGTCAGTTTCAATTCATATCAGGGGTGCCAAGAGATTAGTTAAATTGACTCTGATTTCCCTTACATTTTCCAATTCATTTCATGTAATTTCCTTCTTATACTGGAATCTCATGCTGGTACTCAGGGGAAATTAAGGGGAAAAATAATATGCGGTGACATGTGCTAATCAGAAGAAAATTTAAAACCCAACTACTAAAGTGAGGTAAAGGATAGAATAATTGTTGATTAATTTGGGGTGGAGGCAGCCACCAATCTAAGTCATTAAAAGAAAATTTAAAGTTTATTTTCCCCCTAAATTATGCAGCTTGGTGTTTCAGACCATTCTATTTTCATGAAGCTTTTCCATCTCTCTTTTGTTGAAGCAGATACCAGGTAGACTATTATTAGAGCTGGCCTTAGCATATTTCAACTTCTAAAATATTGTTCTGTTTTTGATTGTGAGCTGCTGTTTACTATGTTAATGACGTAGTGTTGGGAAAATGGGAGAAGTGTGCAGGTGGGGAATTGAAAGGCATTTCTAGAGGCAGCTAAGTGACGCAGTGGATAGAGCACCGGTCCTGGAGTCTGCAGGACCTGAGTTCAAATCTGGCCTCAGACACTTGACACATACTAGCTGTGTGGTCACTTAACCCCATTGCCTAGGGGGGAAAAAGTATTTCTGAGAAGTAGAAATGATTATGTTGGATAATAAAATAATAATGGCAAAATCTATTAAACAATAAAAGATCCAAAGAGAGATCAGTTTTGTTATTAGTTCTCTAGATGAACTTGGCCAAGCTACTCTGGTTTTGTTTTCTATCTATAAATCTGGAATAATGATACTAGCCTCAACATACATGTCTAAGATGTTACGGTGCTTGAATAAGGATAAATATTTTTTTAAACAAATTGACAATCAAAATTTATTTTTTAAAAAGAATGAATATTAAGGAGTTTTAAGGAGAGAGGCAGATAGCAGAACAATATCAGGCAATAGTGATTGCTAGAAACTAAGGTTCTTAAAGGGGGAGGGAGAACCTGTCATATACTTCCTTTCTGTTCTCTGTAGCACCAATTATACACATGGTAGGAATGCTAAACTTGCCAAATGAAATTCTTTTCAATTTTTTTATTTTTAATTTTTAACTGCAGTTCCAAATTCTCTCCTTCCCTGTATCCCCTCTCACACCCATTGAGAAAACAAGAAATATAGTCATTATAAATACGAAGTCATGCAAAATGTATTTCCACATTAGTCATGTTGTAAAAAAAAAAGAGTAAGACAAATGAAGAGAAAAAATATGCTTAAATCTGTACTCAGAGTCTATTAGTTCTCTATATGGAGTTTAACTTCATTTTTCATCATAAGTCCTTTGGAATTGTCATAGATCATTGTCCAAATGAAATTCTTAAGATAAAGTTTATTCTGTCTGATAAAATTCTTCCTTCCTTTCTTTCAAGAATTCCAGTTGTTTTTTTTAATGCTTTTTTTTCTCCTTAGGAATGGAACAAGGTAGCTGTAAAAAATATGTCTCCCTGAATAAATATTTGGGGGATATTAAAAATGTCAAAGTATTTTATGGACCTGCAGCTCGATTGAGAATTTTTGATGTTCCAGATGATTATCAGACTTGTAAGTATTTAAACTTACCAAAAAATGAGTGATTACATTCAGAACTTGTTATTACAAGTTGAATTTAGTCAATATTGACCAGGAAGGAGAAAAGGGATCCGATAGATAAGAATGTTACTTTCCTTTTGATCTTTGGATTAGTAACCTAAATCTTCTGCAACTCAAAGATTAAACTTCACTGGCAGGGGAAGTGTACCTATGCTTTCTCAAGCCTTCCAATCTGATTTGCTAAGTTTCAGCACTTCTGTAATAGCGTATGAATTATACTGCTAAAATACAGGACTCGTCATTTTAGGTGATCTGAAGACAGAACATTTTATAAAATACTAAAACTTATTTTATGCAAGTCAATTTCATTGTCATTAATAACAGTAACAGAACTGATTACTAATATAAAACCATTTGCTTTCTGGGCTAATACTTGTATAGAGTGATTTATATTGTTGAAAAAAGTTTTTTTTTTAAAAGAGGCTTTTTAAGAAGTCAATGAGTCTTACCCCTAAGAAAGATAATCTGAAACCATTCTAAATGATATTAAAATTTTATTTTTAAAAATGCCAAAGGAAAATTTAAATTACACGTTGTCTCTTAAATATATTACATTATTTCAAGCCAATGGTGTCAGGAAGTCTATTTTAAAACGTTATTTCAGTTGTAGTTTAAACCATTTTCTTTTGCACACCCCCCTACTCCCATCTTCTCTGCCCTTGCAGTTCTTCAGAGAGAACAGTTAATTGCTTGTGTACTTCCGAGAAACAAACAAAAGAAAAATGGTTGGGGGCGGGGAACAGCTCAGAAGAACTAACATATCAATTATTTCTAATAGTATGTGCTACATTCTACACTCAGAGTCCCCCACCTCTGCAAAGAGAGGGACGTACATCTTCTTAAACTCTTCCTTTGGTCTGAGACTAGTAATTGTGATTACATAGCATTTAGTTTCTTTGTACTGTTTTGTCCATTTCCATTACTATCATTTTTTTTAGCATTGTCTATTTCATTTCTGTACCAGTTTATCATATTTTTCTGGATTTTTTATTACTGCAAAAAGCACATTTATCAATCTTTTGGTATATAGAAATGACTTTTTTCTATCTTTTACTTCTATGGGCTATATATGTATATAGTCACAGGATATGCATAGGCACTTTAGATTTATTTTTAACATAGTTCTAAATTGCTTTCTAGAATGATCAAACCAATTTATAGTTCCACCAAGAATGTTAATGTACCTATTTTTCTCCATTCCCTCCAACCTTGACTATTGCTATTTTTTTGTTATCTTTGGCAATTTTTGGAATCTCAGAGTTTTTTTTTTTTATTTTTCTTATTAGTTGTTTGAGGCAGTTTTTCATAGGTTGTCAATAATTTACAATTCTTAAGAACTACTTGTTTTATATCTTTAACCACTTGCCCTTTAGGGAAGGACTATTTATCTTTTATATTTGTGGTAATTTCTCAATATATTTTGGATATAAGATTCTTGCCAGAAATACTTGATACAGTTTTTTCCCCAGCTGGTATTTTCCTAGCTTCATTGATTTTGTTTACAAAAAAGTCCTTTAGTTTCATGTAATCAAATCTATATTTTTAATGATAGCCTCTAATCTTTGCTACATTAATAATCTTCCATTTGTTTTCATTGTGAGAGATCTCATTCTCTTTTAATTAGCCTTTGGGGTGTGATCTTTTATATTCAGGTCACATTTATTTTGAGCTTATTGTGGAAGTGTTTCAGGGAGTATATATTTAATGCACGGCAACTTCACGAAGAGACATTTGAAACTTAAGTATTTAACCCAATGCTTTTGCTTGAATTTCTTTGTTCTTAACATTTTTTTAAATTTCTAGTTATGTAATAAACTCTTGCTTACTAATTATCTGGTATTCTTTCAGTTAATTATGAAGACATTGCCAGAAATCTTTCTGTAAGTATCACTTATTTTGTAATATCTAATTGTTCTTAATTTCACTGAGTACATACTGTGTAAATTTAAATAATAAAAATCATTGATGGGGGAGTAATGCAAAATACATGCTTTATCCTAGCATGGCTTAAATAAAGAATGTAAAAATTGTATTGTGGGATTGCAAGTTTGAAATTTTTGCCAGTGTGGGTTTATTTTGCCTAATCAGTAACTTTTAAGGAGGCTTAAGGGTTTATCTTGTTAAGGTAGATTATTGTATTCTAATCATGAATGTTGAGGAAAGTCTTTATTATTCTGGATAAGAGAATATTTGTAAACTGATTAGATAGTCAATAGCCAGAACAAACACAATATTTAATGACATTAAATTTGTCCCACCTAGAACATTTTAGCCAGCTCTGATATTGGACTTAGATAAGTCCTGAGAACTAGATTCTGGTTTATTTTTATGGTTCTATTTCATTATGCAAATTGGTAAAACAAAACAAAACAAAACAATATTTGCTAGCAGGAAACATTTTCATCATGATTTTAAAAGTCATTTCGTGGTGAGCCTACTCATTTGAAGGTTTTTTTCACTGGAATCAGTATTACTTTCACCAATGTGATTCCCTTTATGCTTTAGTGTGTGGTCATTCTGAGTGTGTGCCAACCTTCTTGATTGTGAACTTCTCCAAATTAGGCGAGGCTGGTCCTCAGACAGAACATCTGTATTACATCTTCAAGCTTATATGCATATGCTTACTAACATTTTATGATGAGCTCCAGAGTGTTTTAATCTGCTGGCATAACCTTCAAAGATAACTTGTGTGCCATAATGAGGGAATAAAGCTGGACTTTAATGGAACACGTCTTGGAAAACATGAAAATAATAATTCAACTTACTTTAAATTAAAATTGTGATTTCAGTGCAGGGAACCAGATCAGCACTTCAAACCTTATTTGAAACAATTTTTACCCAAGAGATTACATTTTGCGAAGAGTGATAGAATTGAGCCCTTGACATTCTACTTAGATCCTCAATGGCAGCTTGCAATGTAAGTCCTGCCTTTGTCTTTTCTTTAATACTTTCTGTGAAGTAAGTAAATAAAATTATAAATAGTGTTTGGCAGATTATGTGAGGATAGATTGTATTAGAATAATAGTGAAAGTGCATTAAGGTGTATAAAGAACTTTATGTGTATTATCTTGTTTAATCACAGGACAATAGTCCTGAGAAGTAGGTGTTATTATTAGTCCCATTTTACAAATTAGGAAACTGAGACTGAGAGAGGTTAAATGACTTTCTCAGGGTCACACAGCTAGTAGTAGCTAGTAATAATAACAGTTTAATTACATTAATAATAGCTACCATTTACATAGTGCTTTGAAGTTTGCAAATTTCTTTACATTTTATCTCATTTTATACTCATAATATCGTTATGAGATAGGTTCTATTCCTAATTTTATAGAAGAGGTCACTGAGCCTGAGTAAGTTAAGTGACTTGGTCAGAATTATGGAACTTGTAAGTGTTTTAAGGCAAAGTTTGAACCCAAGGGAAGAGAAAATAAAAACAGGGAGTCCAGAAGGAGGCTGGTCAGGTAACAAGATCTAGATTAAGATTGTGGCTATAGAAATAAAAATAAAGAGTGGATGAGAGACACACTGCAAAGTAAAAATCAGCAGGACTGATGGAAGCAGGTATAGTCAAAACAGTTACTAGGGTTCTGGTTATTAAAGGAAAATTATGAAAAGATATGTGTTTGCGGAGCAAGAAGAGAACATGGAGAAGAGATGGAGAAGAGATAGGGAAGCCAGTTAATCATGTGTTAGCAGGATATTCAAAATACAGATGTTTATAATGATATTCTGTTACCTTAAGAAACAATGAATTCTTGGAAAGTTAATATGAAAGCGGATTGTCACCTGCTTAACTTCGCCAATATCTTCTTACCCTGTTATTTGGAATTTTCTTAGCATTTAAATTCCACTTTTGTATTTTGTTAATTTCTATTTCATAAACATTGCTTTGCAAGTAGTTTCAAGTACATGCTACTGGGCTGTAAACTTCATGAGGGGCAGGATTGTACCAACTGTTTTATACCTCACATCAGAGCACTTTAATAGGGCTCTGTGCACCTGGGTCACTCAATGAAAATTATGAACCAGTTAAGTAACATTTTTGATAAACCAAGACCTAAATGATCAAATTGTGTAATGGTCACCAAGTAAAGAGTGGATGCTGTGTGTGTCCATCTTCTCGACACAGGTTGAATTTAAATGATGAGCTAGGAGTCAAGTAATGGTATTTTACTGAGTATCTTGCCTATTAATATAATACTAAATTTTTGGGAAAGAGGACAAAGAGGAAGGAAGGACAGGAAAACAGGAAGACAAAAGGAAATAACTTTTCTCATTTAATTTATAAGATGGTATAGAAAGGGTAAATGAAACTTGTACAGTAGTTTTTTTTTTAAGTTAGTTCATCAATCTTGTGTCTTCATATTAGGTTCTTATTTTTACATCAATCAGCCAGTCAAGCATTTATTAAGCAGCCACTCTATGCCAGGCACAATAAATATAAAAATCTCATTCTAGTTATAAAATGTCAATACATTATATTAACTGGTGTGTCTATGTCAAAATTAGGAATCCAGCAGAAAGAAAATATTGTGGATCTGGATTCCATGGCTCAGATAATATATTCTCAAATATGCAAGTAAGTGGAATATTATACCTTATTGTCTTTCCGAAAAGATTGTTTGATGAATAACTGCAAACATATATCCCAATTTTAAAAAGTCTGATATGTAAAAATCCAAATTCACAAAACAAAATATAGAATGATTCTGTGTTTTGCAAAAGAATTTCTTAAGATCCTTAAAAAAATAAGTTCCTCTTATGCACTTAAAATGATTTGAGTTACTATAAATTGATTTACATGTGACTTTTCAGGAGGTGTCTAAAGTGAAGCATACCTCTATTAAAATTTTAAAATCTTGCTTGCTTCATTTATTAGTTGTACAGGACCATGGGCAAATTGCTCAACATTTTTAAACTTCTATCTTGTTTTTTGGAAAAATAGGGATAATGCTACTACTACTCTCATGAAGTTGTTGTGAAGATCAAATGAATGATGTTTATAAGGTGCTTGTTAAAAGTACTGGTGTTCTCATTCTGACTGTGCCACTCACTTAACTTTGCTGTTTCTGGAAAAGGCATCTCCAGTCTTCCAGTTACCTAAGTTTGCATCTAAGGAGTGATCCTCTACTCCCTATTCTCACTTTCACTCAAAACTTCTAACTATTCCTCTCCCCCCAATTCAATAATTTGCCAAGTATTGTCAATTAAACCTCCACAACGCTTTTCACATCTGTCCCCTCCTTTCTACTCATATGATCACCACCAAAGGTTTGCTGGTAAATGTTTAACAACCAGCTCTCTAGGCAAAAAAAAAAGTATGCTTGATATACTTTCCAGTTTAATCTACTTTATATCAGAGGATAATAACAATAACACAACTATATAGAATGTATATTATATGATGAAATATAAGCATATTAATAAAATAAATAATAAATTACAATATTTAATAATCAAATAATTTAATAAATAGTTAACTTACCATGCAAGTCATTAACAATATATATTCTTGCATATTAAGTTATTAAAATAATTAATATCAGTATTTTACTTGGCAATATAATTTTATCATAAACACCATATAATTATTTCTTATTAATATAAAATAGTGAGAATGTGATATTAGTATTATGATAGTGATATTGATATTAATAAGCAACATTATTTAACATATTAGTTAATTAGCTTGTTAGTATATAATGTAATTAGTTAATACATAATTCTATTCTATAATACATTATAATGTTATATAATTATATAATCCGATAAAGTCAGTTAATAATATTAGCATTTTTTCAATCACTTTCTTAAATTTGAACAATCAACCATACACAAAATGTCCGGTTTGTAGCTTTTGTTGACCTCCAAGATGTAAATACTTGCACTGAAAATTTAAATATCTCTGTTGTGCCTCCCTAGCTTAAACATTTATCACTTCTTGCTTGGGCCATTGTGATACCTTTTTAATTGGTCTTCTTGACTTAAGTTTCTCCCCACTCCATTCTGTATACCACATAACAGCTAAAGAGATTTAAGTAAAGGCTTGCCATTTCATTCCCTTACTCAGCAAAGACCAGTGACTCCCTATTACTTCTAGAGTCAAATGCAAACTTCCCTCTTGAATATTTATAACCCTTTACAGTCTGATTCCATCCTTACTATACATTGCTCCCCTTCACTTACTCTTTGGTTGAATCAAACTGGCCTTATTGCTTTTCCTTACAGGTGATATTCTATCTCCCATCTTCGTGCCTTTGTATTGCTCTCCATACTTGTAATATACTCCCTCCTCATTTCCATTTCTTTGAATTCCTATCTTCCTTGGAAACTCTCAGGTTCTAGTGCTAATTTCTACATGAAGCTTGTCCTGATGCTTCAGCTGTTAGTGCCTCCTGTCCCTCAAATCACTTTGTATTTCTTTTGTATAAATTTCTCACATACTTATATAGGTATACCTCTTGTCCTCCCTTAAAGAATATATGTTCCTTGAAGGCAGAGATTGTTTCATTTTGGTCTTTGTATCTTTATTACCTACATAGTACCTGGTATATGGTGGGTACTTAATAATGCTTGATTAATTAACATTTAGCAAATCATTTAAGCTTTGTGAACCTTAGTTTCTCCATCTATTAAGGCAATAATAATGTTTCCCTTGCCTACCTCAGAGGATAGTTTATATTAAACATCAATATAAAGTATCATTATTATTAATAATAAACAATATTGACCGATTGACATTTTCCTTCTAATCTTCCCCTAAGACTATACAGATAAATTATTAAATTAAAATTCTATAGATGAAAGCTCTTTAGGCATATCTCAATGTATTTTGACACTAAATGCTTATCTTTTTGGTCAAACCATAGGCCCTCTTCATTGGCTATGGACCTGCATTCAAGCATAATACTAAAGTTGAACCCTTTGAAAACATTGAACTTTATAACTTAATGTGTGGTGAGTACAAACTGATTCATGATTTCTGAGAATTTATGTGGAATGAGAGCATAGCTACTAAACTATCCTATGGATACATATAGAGTGGTATAATATATATGATTTTGGAATAATCTTTAATATTTTTGCCTTTTTTCTCTACTCACTCTATTGACAAATATTTGTTTAGTCCCAGATAAAGGGGTCCACTTGTACAAAATTAAAGAGGTGGGACATGGAATGCCATGTTTGGGGAAAAAATGAGTCTTTGTGAAAATCAGAGTAATGTGAAATAACATTGAAAAAGTTGGCAGGAGCCAGCATGCTGGAAGCTTTAAGTAAAAGCCTAGAAAAAAGATACCCATCAAAGATTTTTGAGAAGGGAGGGGTTTAACATGTTCACATCTGAGCTTTAGGCATATTGATTTAGTAGCTAATTGGAAGATGAATTAGGTAGGCAAGAGATTTGAGGCTAGGGAAACCAGTTAGCATATTGTCATAATCCAGGTGACAAATGATGAGGCATCATAAATTTTAGACCTTGAAAAGGCCTTAAAGATTATTTAGTTCGAGTGCCTCATTTTACACATGAGAAAACTGAGATACAGAGAGATCATAGAAACATAGAAGCATAGATTTATACCTGAAAAGGACCTTAATGGTCACCAAATCCAACTCCCTCATTTTACAGATGAGGAACCTGAGGTCTAGAGAAGTTAAGTGGATTGCCCAATGCCACACAGCTAGTAAGTATGTGAAGGGGGATTTGTTTAGTCCCAGATAAAGGGGTCCACTTGTACAAAATTATTGGAGTCTTCCTGACTCCAAGTTTAGTGCTTGATCCACTATACTGTGCTGTTGTCTTTTGCCTGATATACTCAAGTTCATAGAAGTAGTAAATGGCAGAAGTGGGATTTGAACCTAAGTTCTCTGATTCTACATCAAGAAACTACCCAGATCATGGCTTGAATTAATGTAGAGGCTTTGTAAGGAGAGAAGAGGATGGATATAAGAGATGTCATTGAGATAGGATTAACAAGACTTGGGAATCTGATTACATATGTGCATTGAGCAGAACGGAAGGTTGGCTCAAAGGTTTCAAACCTGGATTGGAGGAAAGATGGTTGTTATCATTAACAGAAATGGGGAATTTTGGAGAAGGAATGAAGTCTGGGTGAACTTTGAGTTTGAGATGTTTATAGGATATCCAGGTAGAGATGTTTAGTAGGCAGTTGTTGATGTAGTACTAGAGCTCAGGAGACAGGTGAAGGCTGGGTATGTAGAGCTGGAAATCATCTGCATGGAGATGATAATAAGCATGGGGAATAGTACTGATGAGAACACCAAGGGAGAGAGAGTAGAGAGAGAAGAAAAAATGGACTCGAAAAGGGTCTTGTGTGATAAGCATACTTAATGTGATAGATGAAGATGATAATCCAGGAAAAGAGTCTTAGAAGGAGCAGTTTTATAGGTACAAGGAGAAGCAATAGAAAGAAGCATCAATGATGCCAATGAAAGAGAAATTGTAAGAAAGTGAAGAGGGTATAGTAATAGAGACCTAAGAAGGGAGACCATTGGCCCTGACAGGAGGATGAAATGGGTAGGAATAGGCAGTACCCATTACTATCCCAGAAGAATGAGGTTGCAGTAATGGCAGGAATGGATGAATAAAGAAGTTCCCTTTTAGAATATCCCAGGCTCAGCCTGGCACTATATATGAATCAAACCTTTTATGATATACTCAGTTATATTTGTAAATGTTTCTTAATGTTTCTATAATCTGGCATTTGGAAAATCTGAAATGTTCCTAATGTATAATCACTTTAGTGGTCCAAATTGTTTTCCACAGAAAATTTTATAAATTAGTATGGTGTGTCAAGTCTCTTCAAATTTCAAATAAAAACAGTATAGTCAAAACCCAGTCTGAAATAAATGAAAGCAGTATAAATCACTTAATTTTTCTTCCTTATAAATGCCTATGTACATTTAGTTTTAAGAATATAATAAAATCACTGGGCATAGTGACACAAGCTTGTAATCCCTGCTATTTAGGATGCTGAGGTTAGTGGATGGTTGGAACTCAGATGTTCTAAGCTGCAGTAGGCTTAGCCATACCACCAAAATTGTGAGCACCCAGAAGCAGGGGACTATCACATTGTCTATGGAGAAACAAACTAACCCTGGTCAGAAATGGAGCAGGTCATAGTTCTTGTGCCATCCAGTAGTGGGATCAGACCTGTGAGTGGTCACATTTCCAGGATGGGTGAGAGAGGGCAGCCCAGTCTCAAAAAAAATAATAATGCCATTTAAGAAATATCTATCATTTTCTATCTTTTTTATATTGAATTTAAGTTCTTTCAAATAATTTTCCACCATTCTTTGACTCATTGTAGATCTATTGAATTTGAAGCCAGCTTCAAATAATGGGACTCATGGAAGTCTTAACCATCTTCTAAAGAAACCTGTTCACATACCAGAGCATCCCAAAGAAGTAAGCCATCTAGCAAAATGCCCTTTCACGAAGAAAACAAGAGAGAACCTTGGCTGCTCGTGTGACTCGGTAAGGAGACTGATTTGATAAATGATACTCATTTGAGTGTTGTAATTTTGCAGTGCCTGTTATAGTATAGAAGACATTTGATGAATGTTTGATGATGAAATAAAAATTTGTTGCTGTAGGAGATAGTTTTTTCATCCTTGGAATATTTGGGTATTTTTGTTTTAGTTTTTGGGGTTGACTTCTCAGTTTTTCACTTTGACTTTTGTGTTTTGTCAGTGGTTTGCTCTATTGTGATTAAGGTGAGGCAGAGAAGTTGAGTCATTGTTGTATTGTCTGCTATCGTCAGTAGAGTATGTTGTATTGTCTGCTATTATTGAGGGAGAGAAAGATGAAAGAAACAGAGACAGAGACAGAAAGACAGAGATAGAGAGAAAAGGAAAACATGGGACATTGAATTTAAATTAAGCATGATTTTTATTTTCTGTGGTGTCATTTATGTCCTCTAGGTAGAGGGAGAACAAAATGGGTTACTTCTTTGCTGAAAAATTTAGCTTGACTATATTTGCCTCCCACTACATATCTAAGAGCCAGCACAGGTGATAAATTTGTGGTGGAATATTGCCAAACACATGGAATAATCATCCATAAAGATATTTTAGAGGCTAGTTTCTTTCTTTTTATTTTTCTTTCTGCCTTTTTCCCTTCCTTCCTTCTTTCCTTCTTTCCTTCCTTTCTTCCTTCCTTCCTTTCTTCCTTTTTTTCTTTCTTTCTTTTTCTTTCCTGTTAGTCTCTGGTCCGATTAAGATTGTAGGAAGGTGGTGGAAATAGAGGTGGCATGAAATGACTAGTTTTCAATTTATGTATTTCAAATGTTACATTTATCCTAAAAACATAATGCTGAAATTTTTATGGAATTATGATAATTAACAATAGCATTCTCCCACATAAGATTTTCAACATTTCAAATTTATACAGGATCAATATTTGTTAATTATGGTATCCAGTTCCTATATTAAAGACATAAACAATGATAATCTTACAAATTCACATGAATTCCTTTTTTAATTTTTCAAACATTTTAGGTTTCATCCACAATGGATTTTCAATCAGAATTAAATATGACCATAGAAGAAGGTAAGGCAGTCTTATTTTTATGTAAAGCCAGAAGAAGTGCAGAAGTGAATTTTTCATTAGTGGCATAAGAAACATAGAAGTTTCTTGTAGAAAATTCCCAGAAAGGAACTTCTACTATTAATGTACCTACCTGGTGAAACACAGAGATCTCTTTGTTTTAGACAGTCTAGACTGTTAGTCACAAGGGGGGCAGTAGTATTTACACTGGAAATAGTGAGCAATATCATATTTTGTGGAGCTGAATCACTCTTTATGACCACAAGGAAGATGTTTTGAAGGTTTGAGTGATATTTAATAATAGAGCCTCAGATGATGATTTAACATTGCCATCAGTAGCTTCTACTGAGACTCCTGTATCCATGGGATGCTGTGCTAGGCACCAGGGGCCACATTAAAGTCATTCACTGTACCTAAAGTTGGGCTGATTAAACATCTGAATAAAAATTAGGAATATTAAAATGATTGTTTTCTATTTTCATCTGTGCAATTGGCGTCTTTTAGATACAGCCTAAAATCATTAAGGAAGCGGCTCTTGCAAAATTCTGCAGAAAATTAGGGCTACTGAATTTTCAACCCTAAACATGACATTGTCTGAGTTTCTTGTACAGAGATTTATTGCTTCAGTTTTTTTTCACATAGCTATGTTTTTCAGAAGATAATATTTTGAGTAGAATAGTTATGTGGCCTATGAAATTTGACTTGTATTCCTAATGTGCTAGATGATAGAATCAAGATCTAAAAAGATCTTTAAAATCTGACCAGAAATCTTGGCTGAATTGAGTTAAGTGAAAATCAATAGGGATAAATAAATGTAAAGTCCTATATTGGTTCAGAAGTCAATTGCATGAGTGCTGGATCAGTAAGACATAGCTGCACAATGATGTGAAAAAGACACAGGGTTTTAATAATAACAATAGCTTGCATTTATGTAGCTCTTTAAAGTTTGCAAAACACATTTTACAAATATTATCTCATTTAATCCTTACAAGTATTATAATATTTTACAGATGAGGAAAGTGAGACAGACAAGGGAAAGGGAGAGGGAAGAGAATAACCATTTTTATAGTGCTTACTATGTGTGAGGCACTGTGCTAAGTGCTTTTTACAAACATTATCTCATTTGATCCTCACAACAATCCTGAGAGGTAGATGCTATTGTTATCCCCATTTTACAGTTGAGAAGACTGATTACAACAGAAGTTAAGTGACTTGCCCAGACTCCCACAGATAGTAAATGTCTGAGGCCACATTTGAACTTGTCTCCCTGACTTCAGGTTCAACATTGTACTACCTAGCTGCATTATATCATTTTAGTGAATAACAATTTCAATGAGTCAACAGTGTAACTTGGCACAACGAAATCAATAATATGAATTGGAAGTTAAGAAAGTAGATATACGTTTAGCCTATATTAGGTATAAGGATTGCGACTGGACCTTTTATTTCATTGACATAGGGAACTCCAAGACAAAGAAACTATATGCTTATACTACTGCAGGTTGGTATGTTTTCTGTAACTTATAGTTAGAAAGTTGCCTAAGACACATAGAGTTTAAATGACTTACTCAGGGTCCCATAGCTACTATGTATCTTTCTCTAATACCTCATTATGATGAGGAGGTGAGAGTCATCTCAAAACCTATGTCAGTGGAATGCAAAACTAATATGGTCTACCAAGCTAAAAAAAACAAAACAAACTAAGTTATAGTCCCAATGATATAAATTTTGGTCAGCTGTCCAAAGACCAGTCTACCTAAATTCAGAGAGGCTACTTACAGGGTGATATATATTTTTGTTTGTTTTGCTCACAGACATCCTCAAAGATCATCTATTAAGCCAGAAAGGGATCATAAGATGCAGTATTAGATGGAATCTCCATTCAGACAAAATCAGGGATCCTTGAAGTGTTGAAGAAATAGTGTCCAGAGAGAGGGAAATTATTTTCCCCATGTGCTTTGCCTTGATCAGGCTACGTCCAGAGTATTGTGTCTGTGTCTGAGGGCTGTATTTTAGGAAGGGCATCAATAAGCTAGCATATGTCTGAAGGAGAATAACCAGGATAGTGAGGACTGGAAATCACTCCGTACAAGGATTAGTTGAAGGAAGTAGGCATGTTTAATCTAAAGCAGAGAGGAATTAGGATGATAGTATAACTGTCCAAATTTTTGAAAGGCTGCCATATATTTGAAAGATTAAACTTGTTTTGCTTGGCCTCAGAGGGTAAAACTCTGAGTTGAATAGAAGGCAGTTTTTTTGTTTTGTTCCCATCTAAGGAAAAAAAAAATTGTAAGAGAGATGCCTGAAAGTAAAATTGACTTTCTCAGTGGGGAAAGTTACTTACTACTGATGAAATCTTTCAGCTGAATCTGAATGACCACTACAGTAATTGGGGAAATTGTAAAGGAGGTTTCTTCTCATTTACAGGTTGGGTTAAGCAATCTTCAAGATCTCTGCCAAATCTAAGATACTGCAATTCTTTAATTTTAGTTTCACAATTGCTAACCTATATGCTGTACAATTTGATTGTCCTAAAAACAAACAAACCTGGTTCACTTTCAGAAATCTAGAAAGAATCACTAATAAAGACAATTGACACTTAATAATAAAGATCAAAGGGATTTAGAAAATTTCATAAACCCAATTTGAAGTGGCCTTAATTGGTGATGCTAGAGAACTTGTGATTTCCCAAGTGATTTTTACAGTAGTTTTCTGTTCTTGTTTTTCCTTTGTCTGCTCATAGGAACAAGCTACAATGATCTCTCTCTTTTAAATCTTAAGATTTTCCTATTTGCAAATAGATTTAGAGCATTAAGGCTGACTTCCAATTTGGGATAAACTTTTTGCAGATATGCTGAATGGATTAAAATAGTAACTTTTTCCTCTAGATCCTGTTTTATTTTCCTTCTCTTAAAATTTTAGAAAAGATGATCAAGCGTAGCATCCTACCCTATGGAAGGCCCAGGGTACTTCAGAAGAACAGTACTTTTTGTCTTCTTTACCAACACCAGTTTGTAAATGCATACAGCCGTGATATCACGATGCCGCTCTGGAGTTCCTACAATGTTGGCAAAAATGCAAGTATATGTAACTGTGGCGTACCCCTCCTCAAAGACATTTTAAATGGTCATAATTAGGCAAAATAATAAGGAAGTATTTGTTCATGGTCAATCTTGGTTTATAACCAAAGACTTGTAATAGAGAGATTGGACTGAGACCCAAGAGACTTAGATTGCAGTCTCAGCACCTCTCTCCACAGCCTGATTTTGGGCCAATTGAATAACTTCTCAGGGTCTTTGCTTCCATATCTAGAAAATGAAGAAGGTAGGCAAGCTCTCTAAAAGTCTCTGAATTCTACCATTCTTTGAGACTAGATGTGGCTTTGCTTTTAACTGGCTCTTTGACCTTGTTAAAGCAATTTAACCTCAGTTTTCTCATCTCTCAAACTAGGCAGTTGGTTTAGATAATTTCCAAGGTTCCTTTTAGTTCTCACATTCTATAATTGCCTTTTTACTGATTGCTACCTATAGAATCGATTCAGGGAAATTTGTTCATCTGCAAATGATCACCAAGAATTTGCCTGGATTATAATCTTTTCACTCATTTATTCATTCAGCAATTAGTTATTAGAGTCTAATATCTGGCTGTCACTTCACCATGTATATCTACTCAGTTGTTAAATAAAGCTGTTTGTACATCCTTAATATCTCTTGCATCTAGACCCTTCCCTTCATTTCTTTTGCAATCATCCTAGATAAAGCCCTCATCTTTTCTTACCTAGATTATTAACCTACTAATATGTCTTCCTTTGTTTGTCTGTCCCCTCTCCAGTTTGTCTTCCATGCTATTATCCAATTAATCTTTTTAATTCATATGTACTTCTGTCACTGTCACTGCCACTTATCTGCAAATAAATCTTCGGAGAGCTGTTAATAAATTGACTAATAAAGTATGTGTCTGTGGACTTGACATTCAAGGCCCTTCATAATCTGGAACAACTTTCCATTTGCAACTCTATGTCCTCCTTCACATATTCTATGTTACAGCTTAGATTGATGTTTTCCATTCTCATCCTCTCCTCTTCCATCTCTGTGTTATACTTTTCCATCAACAAATTAATTTTTAAACATTTGTAAGTGCTTACTGTATACCAGGTACTGTGCTAAATGCTGGGGATACAAAAAGAGGAAAAAAAGTCTCTGCCCTCAAGGAGTTTACAGTCTAATGGGGGAAACAATATGCAAATGTGTGTGTGTGTGTGTGTATATGTAAAGACATATACCATACAGGATAAATAGGAAATAATTAACAGAGGGAATTAAGAGGGGTTGGGTAAGACTTCTTGTAGCAGGTGGGATTTTAGGTGGGACTGAAAGGAAGCCAGGCAGTCAACAGTTAGAGCAAAGGAGGAAGAGCATTCCAGACATTGAGGATGGCCAGAGAGAATGCCCAGAGCCAAGAGATAGAGTGTCTTGTTTGTAGAATAGCCAGAAAGCCAGTGTCACTGTATTGAAGAATATGTATTGGGGAGTAAGTTATAAGAAGACTGGAATGGCAAGAGGGAACTAGGTTATGAACGGCTTTGAATGTCAAACAGAGCAGAGCATTTTTGTATTTGTTCCTGGAGGCAATAGAAAGTTACTGGAGTATATTGTGTGTGTGTGTGTGTGTGTGTGTGTTGCACAAATGGATCTACATTTTAGGAAAATCATTTTAGTGGCTGAATGGAGGAAGTATTGGAGTGGGGGTGGCATTTGAGGCAGGCAGAGTCACCAGCAAGCTGTTTCAATAATTCAGGTGTAAAGTGATGAGGGTCTGTACCAGGAGAGTAGCAGTGTCAGAGTAGAGAAGGGGGCATATTTGAGAGATGGAAATCAGGAGACCTTGGTATCAGATTGGATATGCAGATGAGAGATAGTGAACGAGGATAACTCCTAGGTTGTGAGCCTAAGAGACTGGAACGATGGTATTACTTTTTACAGTTAAAAGTAAGGTAGGGATGGAGAGGGTTTAGGGGGAAAGAATGAATTCTGTTTTGGACATATTGAGTTTAACATGTCTACTAGACATCCACTTTGTGATGTCTGAAAAGCAATTGGGGATGCAAGACTGGAAGTCAATAGAATGATTGGGGCACAAAAAGTAGATTTGAGAAGCATCAGGACAGTAATTAAATCCATGGGAACTGATGAGATCACTTAGTGAAATAGTATACAAGAAGAGAAGATAGCCTAGGACAGAACCCTTAAGGACATATGGTGAGAGGATGTGATCTGGAGAAGTATCTAGCAAAGAAGACAGAAGGAAAAGTCAGAGAGGTAGGAAGAAAAACAGCAGAGAACAGTATCCTGAAGACCTAGAGAGAAGAGAATATCAAGACAGAAAGATATCTTTTTCTCAAAATCTCTCTCCTCCAGTTGCCAAGTCAGACCTATCACTTTGTCCATAAAGCCTTTCTTGACCCCTCCTGGTAAAAATGGCCTTTCCCTCCTCAAATTCTCACAGTATTTTGTCTATATCTCTTCTTCAACCTTATCGTATACTTCCCCAACTCTAATTAGAATGTAAGCTCCTTGAGAATGGAGTCCTAATCACATTAATCATTGTGTATTTAATACCTACCCAAATATTTGGAATGTAGTTGGTACTTCGCATGTCTTGAATTGAAGGGGAAGCCAATGAGCAAAATCATCAAAATTTATTTCAGAAGCTTGAATAAAGATGTTAGCCAGTCTCATACTGTAGAAACTATGAGTATTGCATGTCCAAACATAGAAATAAGAATATGTGATAATATGTACTCTGTAGATAAATTATGCCTGTTAGAAATGACTGCATGATTCTTACTTATCTCCGTCATCTGGTATGTAGACTACAGATTTCCTTTTAGTTCCTAAACTGAACCTAAAATACTTTGCAGTTTTGAAGAATCTTGAATTACCTTGCAGGACACATTTTGTACTTTGATATGCTGTAACATTTTTTCATTCCATCTTTTAGTGGGATAGGATAGAGAAATACCTTACCTTTACTAGTTTTTGCTTCTACTTGATTGACCTTTTGTACTGTAACCAAAGGAGTACAGCTTCATGGTAATCTATGCCCCTGAGTTTTCCTACTTTCATTTGATGCATTTTGTTCCTGAAACTGGGAACATGTTTAATTTCTCCTTGTTTACTCCAAGGGAGTCAAACCATAAAGAAAAAAATGTGGATAAGTAAAGAATATAGTTTAATATCTTTAAAAAACCAACATTTCTTCTTGTACCTTTACCCTTTCACCTCATAAACAATTATACAAATTTATGTCTTATGGAGGACCAGACCAAGAAGTCTTACTGTCTTGATTTTATATTTCTTTTATACAATTTATTTAAAATGTATTTAGCATCTTCTATATGCAGGGCATTGAGCTAGAAACTGAAGGAAATTCAGAGATTAAATAATATCACCCCTACCCTTCCTTATTCCTAGGTTTGTTCACAGGATTCAGTACTAGAAAGGACTTTAAGCTTATCTAGTCCAGGGTTCTTAATTTTTGTTGTCATGGACCCCTTTGGTAGTCTTGTGAAACCTATGGACCCCTTCTCAGAATGATATTTTTAAATGTAGAAAATGAAATATGTAGGCTTATAAAGGAAATTAATTATAATGAAATACAGTTACTTTTTAAAAAAGTTTGTGGACTCCAGGTTATGAACCTTTGATCTAGTCCAATCCTCCAATTTATAAATAAGGAAGCTGAGACTCATGCACACAGAAATTGTGAACAGCAGAGTCAAAATTTGAACCCAATATCTTCTGACTCTGAATAAATCCCTTTTTCTTTTTCACTATCACACTGCTCCTTCTTATGGCTTGCTATTTTAATAACATTCACAGAGCACTTTTGTTGCTTTCCCCTGACCAATATAGACCTAAATGAATATTTTATTTTGTTCTTTAGGACAGTTTCTCTGCAGAAGACTTTTTAAACTGTTTCTACCAGGATCATCGAATACCTCCAAGTCCCATCCAGAAGTGTTCATTTTATAAAAATAGCCCAAAGCTAAGTTATGGATTCCTCTCCCCTCCACGTAAGTATAACTTAATTTTTTTAAACTTCTTTTAGAGCCACACTATGTTATGATGTTGTTTGAGTCTCTTTGCTCAAAAGTTGTTTGAATTATGATTTTTGAAAATTTAATAAAGACTTGAACTCTGTAAAAAATATTTTGATACGTAATAGCTAGGACAACACTAATAGCATCGATATGATTGTTTCCTCTGTTTTCTTGTGTAAAGATTAGAAAAAAGCTCAGATTAGAACCTGTATCTATAGTGGAAAGGACTGAGAGTTCATTTCATTCAACCTCCTCATTCTACTGATGAGGAAATGGTGGCCTGTGGAACTTAAATTATTTTGCCATGATCAATAGCATTCAAGGTGGGATTTAAACCCAAGTTCTCTGACTGTAGAGCCATTGCTTTTTGTGTTGTACCATGATGGCTCCATAGATGGTGGAAAGAAAGCACGAGAGCTTCGAAATGTTTAAATTTTTTTTTGTATTTGTGTGTGTTTAAAAGGTGATTATAAATATCAGTAGCAGAAAGGTAAACTAGTCTTCTTAAGAGGAAAGAGTCTTAGCATGCTTTTTCTTTATTTAATTTATTTTTCCTTTTTTTGTCTGTGTTTTCTTTCACAGCATGACTAACATGGAAATATGTTTTGCATGACTGCATATGCATAACCTATATCAAATTGCCTGCCTTCTCAGTGAGGGAGGGAAGGGAAGGAGGAAAAGAATGTGGAACTCAAAAATTTTAAAAAGTGAATGTTAAAAATTGTTTTTACATATAATTTGGGAAAAATAAAATATTAAATTATTAAAAAGAAAGAGTCTTCAGTATATTGGTTTTCCATTGATGATATTATATCCTTGATATTATATTCTTCTGGCCAAGCATCTTTTAAGGTGTGCCAAATGTAAAAATTGCTAGTCCTACTGGCTTTCATAGTTTGAGGCAACTCCCCACTACAGTCAATTGAGTAACTTATCTCAAGTCATCATTTGGCAATTGCATTATAAGGTTTATTATACTATATATATCATATATTATTATAAGACTTAAAGTTTATTATTGGAATTATATAGGACAACTTCATTTAAGCATCTCAAGGCCAACTTGCTGTCCAAGTTAATTTTTTTTTCTGGATAATCAGATTCCAATATTCCAAATCCAAGGGGTAAGTTTATTTGTATGTCTTCTCACTCAAGAATGGAGCTTAGTTTAGGGAGGGATGATTGTCAATATGATGAATTTATGTGGATGATGCAACAAAGGAGTAATTTTTACTGATAAATATTGACAAAACTTCCTACTTGGCACTTACTTTAAAAAGTGTCTGCTTTTTCTGCCAAAACAGCAATGCGTTAATAGGGAGACCTTAAAAAATTCACAAGTATGTAATTTTATTTTATCTTTTTGAAGGAATGTGACTAAACAAAATCCTTAAACATTGAATTTCCCCAAGATTTCATACTATTCTGAGGAGACATTGTAGGTCTAGAATGATATTCAACTTAATCCCCCCCCGCCCCAATCTCTAAGAAGGTGAACTTTCCAACATTATTAAAAAGAACTTTTTTAATAAAATGTTCATATTATTTTTTTTCTTATTTGCAGAACTTACCAAAGGCACCAATAAGAGACATCATGAAGCCTTGCTTACCAGTAACATAATACCAATGTACCAGAGTTTTCAAGGTAAAAATGACCTAGCAGAAACTTTATTATTTGAATTCTTTTGCCGTAGTGACAAGTATAACTTATTTTACATGCTAGATATATTCCTGAAAAACTTTATTTTACACACTAATGGAACTTGAGGATTTATAGAACAAATTACAGGGGAAGTATTTGTTTCACAGATGTTTCACCATGGAGATAATAATGTTACCTTTAGGTAATGTGTTATGGTTCCAAATAACACCATGAATTCCCAGTTGACCCATACAATAGCTCTGAACAGCAGGTGGTACAGATATTTATCATCCTTATTTTACTGTTGAGGAAGTAGTCTCATTGAGGTTTGACCAAGATACCTTGTAACTCTAATTTTTATGCTCAGTAGAGCACATACACAAACAAATACACAGCAACAATCACATACCTGTGTATGCATGTATAGACATACACACTTGCAATATACTTATATACAATACACACAGAGCAACATGTACATATAATTTTTTTAGTTGTTTCAGTCATGTCTGAATCTTTGACCCTTTTTGGGGGAAGATTTCTTGGCAGAGATACTGGAGTGGTTTGCCATTTCCTTCTCCAGCTCATTTTATTTTTATTTTTATTTTTATTTTAGGCATTTGGGGTTAAGTGACTTACGCTGGGTCACAGAGCTAGTAAGTGTCAAGTGTTTGGTCTGAGGCCGGATTTGAACTCAGGTCCTCCTGACTTCAGGGCTGGTGATCTACCCACTGCACCACCTACCTGCCCCAAAAGTTTTTATTTTTTATTTTTTTCAGCTCATTTTACAGATGAGGAAAATGAGACCAACGGGGTTAAGTGACTTGCCCAGAGTCACTCAGCTAGTAAGTGTCTGAGGCCAGATATGAGCTCATGTCCCTGACTCCAGGCCCAGCTCTTTATCTACTGTGTCACCTAGATGCCCATTTGTATGATTTATATGCTATTTTATAGATGCCACAGTTGCTATTTTAAACTTACTATTTAAATTTCTTCCACATGACATTATTTTAACTTGTTCTTCCCAAATAACATTTTTTTCCCTCCTTGGTTTAGTCATATGGAATTACTTCCATAATATCCTACTCCCAAGGTATGCTGGAGAAAGGAATGGAGTCAATGTAGTCAGTGGGCCTGTGTTTGACTTGGATTACAATGGACTGTATGATACTCCAGAGATACGGAAACAGTAAGAACATGTTTCTTTCTTCATATCTGCTTTATACTTTCTTAAATCAGTAACAATAACAACTAACAAGTGATATTGCCAATATCTTTAATTGCTTTCCAGAATGGTTGTACTCTTTCTTAGGTCTACCAACCCTCTATGTACCTGTTTTCCCATAGAACCTCCAACATTTATCATTTTACTTTTTTGTCATCTTTGCCACTCTGAAAGCTGTGTGATGGAATCTTAGAATTGCTTTAATTTGTATTTCTTTAATTAGTAATGGTTTGTAGCCTTTAAAAAAATATAGCTACAGATAGTCTTTTTTTCCCCCCTTCAGAACTGTCTGCTCGTATCCTTGTACCTTTTATCTATTAGGAAATGGCTATTTTTCTTATAAATGTTTTTCCTCCTTCAATTAATTGTGAATTATGTTTTATGGTATACATAACTAGCTATTGGATTCTGTTTTTTTTTAACATCACAATTCCATAGACTCAAGAAGGTATAATTTCAACTTTTAAGCTCTTTTAATACTGACTGAACCTTATTGTTTCTCCAATTAAAAAAAATAGAAAATTTAGAGGCAAACATCTTAGCATGAACAAGTGGTTGAAAATAGGAAGTGCTCTGGAGGTTGAAGGCTTTCTAGCTGAGTCCTATAAGACTTTGGAGTAATACTTTTTTTTGTTTGTTTTATTGATGGACTTTGTTTTTACATTACAAACATTTACAGATTATTCTCACTTATATCTGGTCTCTTATAATAAAGTAAAATAGTTGAATAAAACTAAAAATATAGTGACTTCATCTGAAAGGGGGTGTGCAATATTTCACATATATAGCATCCTTCTGCCACCTATTTAAAAAATAATAGAAATCTATTTTATCTCCTTTCTACTCCCCACCCATTGCGAAAAAAGGAAAATGAAAACAAATTTCTTGTAACAAATATGTATAGTCAAGCAAAACACATTCCCTCAATAGCTTCATACAGAAATAGCTATGCCTCATTTTGCATCCTAAATCCATTGACTTTCTTATAGTGAGTGTATAGTTCATCATCAGTCCACTCGGATCATGAATGCTTTTTCTATCAATTGTAATTTTTACAGCTTTTAAAGTTGTTTGTTTTTCCAGTATTGTTGTTATTGTATACATTGGTCTCTTGGTTCTGCTTCTTTTTTAAAAGTCCTCAAAATTGTTTATTATAATATTGATGTAATAGTATAAATTATTCTGCTTTTGCTGACTTCATTCTGAATATCAATTTTGATCTTTTCTCTCTTTGAAATCATTTATTTCCTTATTTCATAACAGTACAATAGTATTCCATTATATCCATATACTACAACTTATTTAGCTATTCTTAAATTGTTACACATCCTCTTAGCTACTTTTTTTTCTTTTGGTCAGCAGAAAAAGAGGTAATAGAATATTTTTGTAGATATAGGACTTTTTCCTCTTTTTTTAAATCTCTTTTGGACATAGGCATAACTGTGTTCTAGCTGGGTCAAAGGATGCACATTATTTAGTAACTTTTTGTGTACAGTTCCACATTACTTTCCAGAATGGTTTTACCCTTTCATAGGTCTACTCATCTTCTATGTACCTGTTTTCCCACGGTTCCTCCAACATTTTTCATTTTACTTTATTTATCATCTTTGCTACTCTGGTGGTTGTGAGATGGAATCTTAGAACTGCTTTATTTTACATTCCTCTTATTATTAATGCTTAGCCTAGTGTTTTTTTTAATGGCTAGAGAATGTATTTTTTTCCACCCTTTAGAACTATTTGTTCATATCCTTATACCATTTATCAATTGGGGAATGGATATTTTTCTTTTTTTAAAAATTTAATTAAATTTTATTTTTTCCACTTAATAGTATTTTATTTTTTCCAATTACATGTAAAGATAGTTTTGAACATCCACGTTTATAAACTTTTATCATATTAAACATATTTCTACATTAGTCACTTTGTGAAAGAAGAATCAGAACACAAGGGAAAAACCAAGAGAAAGAAAAAAAGAAGACACATAGTATGCTTCCATCTGCATTCAGACTCCATAGTTCTTTCACTGGATGAGGATAGCATTTTTCATCATGAGTCTTTTGGAATTGCCTTCGAGCATTGCTTTGCTGAGAAGAGCTAAGTTTTTCAAAGTTGGTCATCCCACAATGTTGATGTTACTGTGTACAATGTTCTCCTGGTTCTGCTCACTGCACTCAGCATCAGTTCATATAAGTCTTTCCAGGCTTTTCTGAAGTCTGCCTGCTCAACATTTTTTATGACACAATAATATTAATGGATATTTTTCTTATAAATTTGAATCAGTTACCTATATATCTTGGAGATGAGACCTTTATCAGAGAAACTTGTTGCAGAGATTTTTTCCCCCTAGTTAACTTTTTTCCCTTTAATTTTGCCTTCAGTTTTGTTTATGTAGAGTCTTTTAAAATTTAATTTAATTTTAATTTTTCAGTGGGTATGAGAAAAAAACTGAATGAAAGGATATTAACATATTTTTAAAGGAGAATAAAAAATATTAAACTGGTGACTATTGATGTTGCTAAATATAGATGATAATATTGAATATTGGTTTTTGTTACAGGGATCTCATTGCAAAGTCCGACTAAAATAGCAGACTTTTACTATGTATACAAAGTGTTAAGGTTTGTCATAAAGGGGCAAGAAATAGCCAAATATTTGAATGTAAATCACGGGATATACCAAAGAAAGGAGATGAGATATTTCTATAGATGTGATCAAGAAAAAGAAGACCCAAAGCATAATTTTCTTTTTAAGACCTTGCAAAGATGTCAAAGGCTCTGCAAGCACTAGAGTGGTAATAGTATAAATAGAGAGAAAGTGATGGATGTAAAAAATGTTGCAGAGGTAGAAGTCATTTTGACTATTACATATACCCAAATTAACTACAAAGGACATATGAAGGAAGATACTGTCTGCATCCAGAGAAAGAACTGATAGAATGATTTTACATACATCCATACATCCATACATACATATTTGTCAAGTAGCCATCTCTGGGGCTGAGAGAGGGAAGGGAAAAGAAAAATAAAGTTACATGATAATTCTATTATATTTAAGAAGAATAGCAACTTTTACAGAATTGATTTGCAGTTTCATGTGTAATCATCTTTTTTTCCCTATTCTAACTATGTTATAGAAATATTTGTTTTATTTCTTAAGTTCAGAATGAAAAAAGAATAAGACATAGAAACTGACTGCATATAGAAAGTGATGTAGAAGTAAGGATCAGAGATGAATCTGCAGTTTTGAGTGTGGGTGATAAATATGGTGGTGATGCCATTAATGGAAAATTTTAAAAAACTTGAATCCAGAGAGTATATTGAACCAATGGATGAAAGCAATTCCTACAATTGCCTTAGCCTCCTCCAGGGAAAAACAAACAAACAAACAAACAAACAAAAAACAAAACCAACCAACAACAAACAAAACATTGAGCAAAAATATATCAAGAAGTTCATTGTGGCTATACATATATTAAGAAACACAATTGCTATTCAGAAATCAAAATTAAATGGCAAGAACATATTTAAAGCCATTAACAGGTATGTGATACCAGTGTTAATGCACACTTTTAGAATTTTAAAATGCCTTACAACAGATTGAAAAGTACCCTAACAAATCTTATTCAATATCAACCAAACATAGGGCCCATCATCCTAAAGCCATATGGGAAACTAAATATATTCATTCCAGAAAAGAAGACTTTCTTAAATCACATGACAAACCCATCAGAAATGTAAAGAAATGCTTTTGGAATAAGCACAAATCAACTTACTGAACAATAGTGAAAGGTGCTTACAAGTATGCATCATTGAATTTGTTCAGTGTAATTGAAAGTGGCTTTACTCTCTATGGAGCCTATTAAGTGATTGAGATCCAAGATTGTCATCAAAAGGCCCTTTGGCATTAATTCAGTCAATATCAATATGTCAACAGAGGAGTATTGAACAAATTCTGAGTCATGTGGATTTGTTTGTGGAAGTAAATGTAGCAATGTTATGGTGGCAATTCAAAACTGGTTTATTGCTACCAGAAACTACATAAGGAACTACCTTAAAGAATCTGGATTTAGTGATAGATGTATTTTATTCAAGGAAACAGTGGAAACAGCCCAACACATCATTATAGCCCAACAATCACCAAACATTTAATGCCTATTCAATACTTAGAAAGTCATAATCTGATGGCTAGAAATATTCATCAGAAGTCTTTCATGGACTGACAAACAACAAATCCATTAAAAAAATAAAGACTTTAAAATATCCCTGAAGAACTCAGCTCATAAACTATTGGAACTATATGGATCAATTAACCCATATGGAACTATTGCTCACTACAGCCAAGGGAATAAACATTGATTCATACAAATTTAAAAACAATATTCTTAATAGCTGTCACCATCACAAATACTAATAATCTCTAAGCTACACAGAATGAAAAGCTTACAAAATACCAATACTTGACTAACCTGACTAAAGAGATCAAAATTATGTGGGAACAGGATAAGGTATGCTCTTGGGTTTGTACCAAGAATGCTTTCAGTGAGCCACAGAAGATTAACTTATATCCCAATGTTAATCAAGAGAAATTAATTTATCTCTGCAACAGTCTATAGAACATTGAATATAAAGGAATGATAGCAGAATAACATTTTGTCATAGTACTGTTTCTATCTGTACCTCATCAAAAAAAAATAAGGATGAGATAATTATAGTATACACACACATATATGTACATATATGTGTATATATAATAAATACATATGTGTGTATATGTGTATGTGTGTGCATATATACATATACATACATATATATATATATATATATAAAATTATCTCCAATTTCCTAATAATGAGAGCTGTCTAAAAGTAGAATGGACTGTCTTAGAAAATAGTATGTTTTCCCTCATGTGGTTCAATCTATTTGTTATTAATTCCAGAGATAGCAAGTATATGGGTGTTCATTAGG